GAACCGCTCCCAGCGAGCTGGCCTGTAGAAGCTCGCCGGGAGGGGTTCCTCCCGACGGTGTGGCCTCTGCCCCTTTAGGCCGAGGGGGCTGGTTTTTTTTTTCTTTTTTTAAAAAAAAATCACTTTTTTTTTTCTTTTTTTAAAAAAAAATCACTCCTGGAAGAGCCGGATGCCTCGCCGCCCATTCAGAGGGCGGGTATCCGCGGGTATCCGCGCGGATACCCGCCAACGCTGGCGGGTATCCGCCGGCGGATGCGGATGCGGATGCGGATGTGTGTTTCCGCTGAAATCGTGAGCGGATATCCGCATCCGCGCGGATATCCGGATTCAATGCGCCCATCTCTATTACAAACAAACAAATCAAAACCTTTCTCATTTTTTTCAGATACCTCTGGAGAGATATCATCAAGGGAGAAGAAGATAATGAACTCCTCAATCAAAACATATTTGCAAAAGATTTACATAAATCATTGACTTGCATAGAAAAGATAAAGGCAAAAAACTTGATCACAAAAAATGCAACACAAGTCATTGCAAATTCCTGGAGGATTTTGTATTATTGGATAGATAGGACAGGGAAAGGCTCACAGCTGAAGTTAGAAAAAACTAGAGCCTACCAGAAATCATTGATGAGGATTGTTAACATGATAGTTTTTTGGTCAAATCTGAAAGCTATTCAACTGATGAGAGAAAATGAATCTGAAATTGAGTAGTGACATTATTTCCTCAAGAATTTTGTGAATAAAACTCAAGATAGGTTCCATCAGGCCAATTCCCTCCATTTATCCATTGATAAACCAGCTATCAGTAACTGTATCTCCATGAAATACAAATGAAAGAGGCTTTTTTTGCCTTATTAATTTGTCTCCTGTGTTGATATTTCTTTCCTCATCTTTGGTGATTTTTCTGCTCCCTAAAATATTCATTTCTCCTGCCAATGTTTCATTTCTCCATTTTTGTCTATATGTAGAGACAGACAAAATGAAGATTTGTCTGTTGAGATTCAAGCTCACAACCTCAGAAATGCTGAGACACATACTAGAGTGCTGCCTTTACCAACCAGGCTACAAAAACCTGTGGCTGCCAGGGTAGTTGGGTGGTAGTCCTCATGGGTCAAACCAACAGCTCAACCATACTGTGGTGATACATCATGTTATCAGAATATCATATACCTCAACACTATATCTCACAATTTTTCACTGCAAATGTTATCCAGAGTCTGATTTCAAATCTCAATAAATCTCAAATCCAACTTCTTCTAGTATTTTTGTGAATTAAGGTCATGATCCACCACAGAATTGTTGGCTGGACTATCTATGCTCATCACTCCCACTATAGGATTTAATGAGACTTGAAAAATGACTCTTCTCTCAAGTCCTCACATGTCAGGACTCATAGGGACTTGTGTAGAGACAGAAAAAATGAAGAGGTGTCTGGTGAGTTTCAAACTTACAACTTCATCAACACTGCTTTTCATTAAATTTTTCATCTGTGTGATGTAACAGCCCCTCTCTGTGGCTGCATTATCTGTGAGTGTGGGGAGGTTGTATTACACAAATGCAGCAGACAATTGTCAAAATTGAAATGCTGAGACACAAGATGTTTGGGGGTGAGTAAATACCTTTGAAGGTATGTTGGTACTTTCTGTTTATTTCCCAAGAACAGACACCAGGTATTGCACCCACCACCACTTGAAGGGCACCATTGCGGATGGAAGGGTCCCCACAAACAGGTTCTGAGTTCCACACGGCCATATTTAGAAGGAAAGACCCACTTGAACAGGTGATTTGAAAAAAGACTAAGTAGCATTTATTATGATTTTATCAACAGCCATTTAGTTTACCAATTACGAGGTTTTGTTTATCTTTGCAGAAAATTGTATTGATATATCTACTCTGGATTAAATTTCTTGAGGATGCCACATACACTTTCTAGGAGTCTAATCATTTGAAAAAATGTCCAGATCTATGCAGCAAATCTTCTGTGAAATTTTCAATACAATAAAGATCCTTGATAAAACATACATGTTATGACTGCTGAGGTTTCAAATCTTGAAATACCAATTTGGTAGGGTTTGGGTATAAGCTGTGAAGCAAATTAACTTATCATAGTTATCTATGACCCCTGTTTCCAGATTCTCATTGCTGGGTCTTCAATGTTTCGGGTAAAACTACTCCATACAAAACACGGGACATGCTTTAGATCATTGGAAGTGGATAAATCCCAGGATTTCTTGGGCCATCATCATAAGACCAGAATCCATATTAGACACATGAATTACATCCCTTCAAAATCAGGTGTAAAACTCTTACATTTATCTTGAGAAACAATTCATCATAATGAAACACTATTTTATCAAATACTTGTACCTACAATTTCTCTTGATGATCTATTTTCACCTTGCCTTGCTCAATCTAAACAATGTGAAAAAGAACAAAGAATTTTTTTTTGATTTGAATGAGACACCAATGGAGGACTCCATATATCCATCTTCCAAGTCCTCAGAAACATCATTTTATGATTCAAAGGCAAGTCTTAACTCACCAAGCAAAAAGCCCATGGTATTTGCAACTTCAGAACCACACTGTTCCACTTTTTCAAAGGAATTATTCCATGATGCAAGGTTGGGAGGAAGCTCATCAAGAGAAAAAGTGGGATCTTTGACACAAGGACTTCAGATCATCAGTCATTCACATTCTCCAACCAGCTCCCATAAGCGCAAAAATGAAAACAAAAATTCTGAACATGGAAGGAACAATTTTTTCTGTGGCATTAGGGGAGACAAAAAATTGGCAGAATTTTCAAAAAAGAAGCAAGGAGGGACTGAGAAAAATGAGATGAATAGGGAAGAAAACATGTCTCCTGAATATTCCCAATCACATGAAATACATGCAGCACCAGTAGAAAATTCAAAATTCCCACTTAAAAACAATGTTCATTTAGTCAATGTCAATGAAGAGATATTTGAAATATTGGATGTTTGCAACTGGAATTATGTCAAAGTGGATCCAGATGGAGAAATTGAAAATTCAAAGAAGAAGGATGCTGAAGAATTTGAACCTGTTCAGAAGATGTTCAAACATCTGAATGGATTCAGATCTGGTGAAAATCTTAGTCATGTTTTTTGGATTCCCAGGGATGAGGAAATAACATTTTTCCAAAATTATTGCAGAAGCAAAGATACTTTGCATTATCCGGATGAAATATCACTACCTCAAAGGTATTTTGGGATCATCAAGATACTGTTGAGAATTTCTGATGAGAAACTTGAACTTGATCAGTATTTTGGCTTCTTCAAAGAGCTCAAAAACCAGTTGAATTCAAAGCTTTCATCCAAAAACAAGGATTTTATCTTTTCAAGAAAGTATGAATTCCAAGTCTCAAAAAGAATGGAATACATGAGAAAAACTAGCAAAGTTACCACAACATTATCAATTTTGTATCTCTCCCTATTTCAAGAACATTTAGGGGGAAGCTTGACAAACAAAAACATACTAGATTTTTCAAATTTTCTCCAAGAATTCTGGAAAGAAATCATCAAGGGTGATGGTCAGGCCTTCTTGAATAAAAACCAATTCAAAAAAGACTTGCATGAATTCCTGATATTTACAGAAAATGGAAATGTGAAATATTCAAAAGCAAGAAACAATTCACATCTTCTAACAATCTCCTGGAGAATTTTGGGCTCTTGGATAGAAAGGACAGACAGATGTTCATCACTCAACTTGAAAGAAGATATTGTCTATCGCAGGTTCTTAATTTCAATAGTCAATAAGATAGTTTTTTGGTCAAATTTGAAGTCTATTCACCAAAGTATTAAGGATGAATTTAAAATAAGAAATACTATTGAATTAGATCAGTATTCAGATTAATGATTATGGTTTAACATTCAATATCATTTTTTTTCAAGTATTTTGCAAAAGCCAAGATGTTTGAAGAGATGAAGGTGTGACATTTTTTTCCCTCAACATCCAGGCCCTGTTAGGACAACACTGTCATACATTATAAATTTTCAAGTATCAAGTGGGATTGTGTTATATCAACACTGTCACAGATATGGTATCTGCCATGTATCTGCCATGTATCACTATGTATCTGAGCCCCAATAAAAAACCTATCTGACCAATCTGCTTTTATTTGCAAGGAGATTCAACAAATTTGGTTTTTGGCCATGCAGCTTTGCAGAATTCTCCATGATACATACAGTGTATCGTATCTGTGACAGCGTTGGTTATATTGATATATATTGGAATATATACATCATGCAATTCAGCACTGAAATTTAAAACTTATACAGTATAAAAACGCATAAAAAAGGGGCCTCAATGTTTGTTGAGATTTCAAAACATTTGAAACTGAGAAAAATGGTATGGGAAGGATTCTTTCTTGCAAAATTTGTTGGTTTCTTGTCCTAAAGCCAGTTTTGCTGACTGGAGAAAAATGAAATCAAAAACCATCTTCACAAAAAGTATTTTTTTTGGGAAATTCTTGCCCCTCAAATATCCTGTGTGTTTGTGTGACAATCAAATTTGGATTTACTATGGGAACCTCCCATGAGGCTTTATCAAGGGTTTTAGTTAAACAACTCCCAAAGATGGGAGTTGGAAATCCAATCTTTGGGAGTCGTTTAACTCAGACTCTTTCTTGATAGTTCCTATGACGTGTAAGCTCCATATTATCAAAACTTAAACCCGATGACAATGTGTTTGAAAAATGATATCTGGATTTACACTTATCAACATTTGCTCAGTGGATGTCCCTAAATCGTACCTTTTTTGGGGAATGGTTTGCAACATCATGTACTGAAGATTGGTTACTTGAGTGCTGGTTGTGCTCTTGATAGGTGTGGTGTGATCCCCAGGTTTGTAAATGATGATGGTGATCTATCCGCCAAAAAGTCGGGGGCCCATGCTCCGACCCGCCGAGAGGTGCCAAGTGTCACTGTGCCAGTCCGGGCAGAGCTTTAGGGGCTTACATAATCAGCGGCTGAGCTGGAAACATACAAAGTAGAAACAACCGGTGTACATATGCACAGCAAGTGAACACCATCCAAAAACATCTTCAAGACGGCCATCGACAAGCATATCATCCATAAAACCTCACAACCGAAGGATGAAAAACATTCAGAATACGGCAACGTTCTGTTGAAAATGGCTGCGAACTACTGGCTGAGCTCACATGCGTCAGTGCTACTCTTACTATGACACACATCATTATCATCTTCCTGATTCTTGCTCACTATGAATGGCTATATCTCTCTTTCAGGAACTCACATATCCTTACCCGTCATGATCTACGTAACTCGCCTGGAAGGTCGATCGATCTCAAGTATGCTGGCGAACGAGAAATGGCATGCATTAACATCTGGAGTAGCAATGGTATTTACATCATTCTTTCTCTCTCTACTTGCCCCAGTCAGTTGACTGAGTTTACTTTTTTTTATTTTTGTTCTAGTCATACACAAGATCGGAAAACGACTGAATTGTCGACAAATCGTCACCGCTACTGCAGTCACTTACTTCCGCCGATTTTACGTTAAGAATGCGATTGCGGAGACAGACCCGTTAGTAACAATCTCCCTGTCCCCATCTCAGAGCTAACCTGACCTTGACCGGTCTTGTATGCTTTTTTTTTCAAAAAAAAAACAGTTGCTTGGTGGCGGCGGCAGCGGTTTATGTGGCCACCAAAGTTGAAGAAGCGCCCTCACACATCAAGACCGTCCTGGAAGCGGCCAGAAGCGTGTTTTCTGGTACGTCGATTGGTTCTCCTACTATCTCTGAAACCAGTCCTAATCGCTTGCATTTTAAAAAAAAAAAAAGATTATCCCGCTCTAGGCCCGTTTCCTAATGACGCAACGGTACTAGCAGAAATGGAGTTTTATCTAATCGAAGACTTGGATTTCCATCTGATTGTTTGGCACCCTTATCGGTAATTTCATACTTTCCCCCTTTTTATACAGTCAGGGGCTAGGAGAAACACTAATAATTACTTCGAGTTAATAATGATATGCGTGTTCATATCCATAGGGATTTGGCACAATTTGCTGGACGAGAGGATTCTGCTGTTCCAAAGGATGCCATGGAACGAATGAGCGAATGGACACCTGGCCCCAACTCACCCCTCTATCAAGAGTATCGCAAGGAATGTGATCGGCAAGCTTCGATGCTTGATCTCAGTGACACGACTCTTCAAATGGCATGGTAATGTTTTTCTCTCCAAATTTATTATGAAGATAATCGCAGACTGAGTCTTTACTTACTGATCATTGTTGTTTGTTGGGAAAAGGTTTATCATTAATGATACTTATCGGACCGATTTGATCTTGCTCTATCCGCCATACATCATTGCATTGGCGGCGATCTATATCACCGTAGTGATCCATCCCCATCCAGCGATGAAGACGCTTCCACAAGCGACCAAGCCGACTCGACGGAGCAGCGACGAGACGGGCCCATCGTCGAGGACGCGCCGACAATCGATGAACCCGTCGACGCCGCTGGCCAATCTTCCAGGACGAGTCGAAGGCACGACGGGGACGGGGACGGCCTTGCCAGCCAGTCCAAGCACTCCAACTAAGGTCGTCCCCTTAGACTTCTTCGCTCGCTTCCCCATCTCAATGTCGTTGGTACTCGAACTCGTCCAGGAAATCGTCGCCAGCTATGAGCTGTGGAATCGGCTCGAAAACCCTAGTCTTTCGATCCATCGTCCCCCCGAGGATCCCGAAAAAATTCCGAGAGGCCTCGCCTCTACTCGGCTCAATCGTCCTATCTATTCTCCTGACTCTTCCTCCTCTATTCCTTCTTCTTCCGCTGCTAATCCCTCCACTAGTGCCTCTCATTCACACCAATCTGCTTCTAGTAGTCCTGTTACTACTAAAGCTTCAGGCGATAAGGCGGCTGATGAACGCGTCGTCGATATCCTCCTTAGAATGCATAAGGCTAGAGAGCTCGACCAATCTGCTTGATTTATTTTGCTTTTTTTCTCTTCTTTGGAATGATTCCACAAAACCGCTTCACACAAGAGTCTTTTACCTTACGTTATTTGAACTCATTAGGCGTCTGCATCGTTGTTTTTTTATATATATATCTTTTTTTTCAACCATGCCCTTGTATACATCTTGTATGATATTTTGATTCATGTATTCCAAAATGATGATTGAAAGAAAGTCAGTTTAATTGATATGTACAATATTATGTCTTGAGGATTCCAATAGATAGTACATGCGAGACAAAAATATATCGCTCAACCCATTGAGAATACATGTAGCTCTTCAAAATTGCAAGATGGACGTTGAATCCCTAGAATGCTCTCGGACAGGACTGACACTTACTTTTTGAGCATGTGCAACTTTTTTCAGTTTGATCACCCAAAACAAGTCCTTTCTGAGTGATATGTGGACTCTTTTGTTCAGTACTTCAAAACCAACATCTCTCACTGTCAGATCACCATGCATTCTCGCAATTAGTAATAGACTCAACGGTTCAATCCAGTCAAATGAAGAAAGAAGACAGGACCTAATGTACAGACATCTCTAGACTTCATAAGGATCACTGCAAGAGAAAACCTAATTGCTCTGATTATTTAGGGTTTATATGCACTCAATCCGATTGCTGCACTCTTACTAGATACAGACTCTATTAGATAGACAGTTTCTCTACAATTCTTATTGTCCTTGACCGATTTGAATTGAGCCCAGATAGGACAGAAAGTTTTTTTTTTTTTTTTTGATGTATGCTTGATACATTACATTTACGACAATCATTTTTTTTTTGGCGGGGTATACAACGAAAGGTATATGTATCAACGAGAGGATTCTAGGAAATTGACCTGATGGTGGTTTATTAGCTGGGAAGGTTTTGTTAAGACTGCCTAATCTTTGTACTTTCTTCATGCACGGCTTCGAGGAATGTTCTCATAGCTTCTGGATCGACGCCGGGAGTGATGCCATGCCCCAGATTAGTGATATGAGGTAGATGAGGAAGGAAGCCACCGGCCTCCTGATTAGCGAACATTAGTCGAACGTATTTCTTGATCGTCTGATGGTCAGTGTGAAGGACAGCAGGATCCAAGTTGCCCTGCAAGGCGATGGAATTTGAGAGGGATCCTAAGGCTTCGATCGCATACGCGGGCCGGACTTTCCAATCCAGCGAGACGGTCGAATAGCCCGAGGAGGCTAATTGCTGGAGTTGGTGGGGAAGATTGGCTCCCTTTGCAAAGACGACCATTGGGACGGGGTGGATGTTGGCTTGACTTAGTCCTTCCTTGACCAGAGTAGACACCCTCCTTAGATACGGTAGACTGAAATGCTCGAAATCATAATCACTCAGTTCGCCAGCCCACGAGTCGAAGACTTGGACGATCTGACAGCCGGCTTCGATTTGGTTGACCAGATGAAGCGCGCAGACGAGGGCTAGTTTCTCGAGCAATCGGGCGGATAGCTCCGGATGGACTTGGATCCAGTTCTTGGCGGTATCGAAACTGGTGGCCTTGCTAGCATTCAGACCCGATCCCCCTCCTCCACTGGTCATATATGCAAACAACGTCCACGGTGCTCCGACGAAGCCGAACAAAGGGATCCGGTTCTGCAGCTCTAAGGTCGTCAATTTGATCGCCTCGTATACATAATTCAGTTTCTCCTTGAGCTCTTCTGGACTGATCTTCTTGTTGATCATCTCTTCCATCTGTTCCTTCGAGCTGATCGGGTTCGGGAAGATTGGTCCCGGATTCATGATCACTTCCATCTCCAGAGCTTGCGGTATAACTAGGATATCCGAAAAGATTATCGCCCCGTCCAGCAATCCTTCGTATCTTTTGATCGGCTGCATCGTCACTTCTGTCGCTAGCTCTGGCGTCCGACATATTTCAAAAAATCCATGCGATTCTCGTAGCTGATATCGTTCGAGAATTCAAAGTTGAGATGAAGACAGAAAATTAGCTTCAATTTCCAACACCAATTCTTCTTTGTATATATGTCTTCTTGATATGTAGATATGGGTCAACATGATTGATTTACCTTACGAAATTCGGGAAGATATCGACCAGCTTGTCTCATCACCCAAACCGGCGATCGCTCTGTCTTCTCTCCTCTTGCAGCGCGAAGCAAGAGATCATTTGTGGGCGAATTGTTTGTGACTGTTTCTTTGGACATCTTATACTTTTTTCTTCAAGTTGTCTTCGATTGATGGAGGTGGGATGGAAGGACAGTTGGATTGGTTGGTTGTGTGGTTTTTGTGGTCAAAGTGGCACTTTTTTTATTTGATCGGACCTCCCGAGTCCCGCGGGCTGTCCCGGGTCGGCGCACTACGACATCCCGATCGGGCTCCCGGGGGTTGAGGGACTTCCTCCCCCGGGGAGTTCTGATACATCGATCGCCTGACAGTCTGGCTGTGGCAGTCCCTAATTCGACCTCCTACTTACATATTCAGCAACATCCAACAACATCCAACACAACGCAACCACCCTCAACAAGCTCAGCTTAAATCGAACATCGAGATGTCAGACATTGGATTCGCTTCCCAGGAAGATATGAAGAAGGCGCGCCTTCCACTCGGGTAAACTAACCACCCTTTCCTCCTACTCTCTCTCACTTTTTGTGTTCTTTCCTTTTGGGATTTCTCGGGAAAATCGAGTTGAATGTGAATTTACAAGCTCAACCTGCTCTCTTCCGTTTTGTTTCCTGGTTTCAAAGATATCGGGATTCGTGTGCAAAGTGAGTCCGGCTGACTATCTTCACCCATATTTGTTTCGAATGTCTTGAGTTTCCGTAAGACTGACGATCTCTTTAACCTGTATGGTTCAAATTCAGTTTCTTGATCACCCTTAACAAATGTAGACATAAGGGTAACTTCATGCCTTGGAAATGTGGAGATGAACGGTAAGTCAACTCAGCTTTCAGGATGACACTAGATCTACGGCTATCATTGGAAACTGATTCCACTACATCTCTGCCTTTTTGTTTTTCCTACACAGACATGCATACGAGCATTGTCAATACAAAGAGTACGCTCAAAATCTTACAACAAATCATTTCATATCTCAATCTTGCTCCAATTCTTTCTTGGAACTCACTTTGACTGACAATTTGTTGATTTGCCACTTTTCTTAATCATTCTTCCGATTCTTCGATCGACATGAAAAAAAAAAGTTATACGAAACGAATGAAACAGATGCAACAACAAGTCCAAGCTTCTAAAGATGAAGCATCCTGAAAGAAGACAAAAAAAGTGATTTAACTCCCTGTATTCATCTCTCAAATTAAGCCCTCAATTCACCCTATTGTCCTTTTTTCTTTCCTTCTTTTTTGAAACATAAATCAAGACATAAATTGTTGTCTAACATTTCTGGTGGAAGTGATCGCCATCATCGAAGCGTTGAGACTACAATATAGGCCGAATCCTTGTTGATATAGATCTTCAAAACCTTTTTTTTCTTGGATCATTTTTTCTTTTTCGTATCCGGCAGTCTCAAATATCATTGATGTGATCTATCAGCTAGCCATGGCCATACAAGCTGTGAATGTAGTCGAAACCCACGGATGGATCAGGAAGAATTTTGCACATCTATTGAACAATGATCAAGCCGAATATGTACTGAGATAATCAAGTGTAACACAACATCTTGATAAGTGTTGAAGCAAACACATCACTTACAACAATGCCTAAGATGAAATGGCATGGTGGATTAGGTTGATATCAGGATAGATCTATCAATCTGTGCATGTAAACTTCTCCTAATCAGTGGAGGCTGTAAAACTCGACTGGTTCTCATTCCTGTGGATGGATAGCCAAAGCATAAACCAAGCTTCTTCATCAATCCTTATGTGCACATCCGCGGAGATTCGAGCTTGATCCGTAGCTCCGGCCTGTCGGGCCTCATACCATGAAGTCCTGAGGGCCCAATCGGAACACCATTTTTTTTTTCTTTCGGAGCTCAGGTCCCTTTATGTGTGCAGATGCCCTCATACGACTCGTCTGAATGTCTTCCTTTTTTGGTCTTGGCATGTTATGAAATCGTATTCGTGTTGGGGATCTATGTAACTTAACTAAGTCCCTCCTCCGGCAAGCCATCGGATCAACTGCCGGAGGGACTTAGTTAAGTTAGGTTGGGGATGCATCATGCAAACGGTGAATTATTTTCGTGTTTTCTGTTGTGTCAGGGATGGTATGGACTCAGTGCAAACTCCGTTTGAACTTGAACAAAACACTTTGCCAGTGAGTATGTAATATGTAAGTGCCTGCCTGTGTCTGCCCATGGAAGCTGGTGCAATCAGAAAACACGTTTTCAATCCAACCCATTGCCGGCAGGCGCCCACTTGAGTCATCGGAAGGTCAGAATTTTACGTAAATCCTGTCAAACATTTCATGCCCTGCTTGGCTAGAATATTGAACGAGATTGGGCCTGATAAGGACTTGCGCAATCACCTATAGCAGTCGTTGATTGTGCTACCATAGTCATTAATGCTCAAGCTATCCAGGTCCTATTAAGGAGACCCGCAAGTGACAGAGCACTTCACTCGGACGATGTGATCCTAGTAGTAAGCATCAATTCAAGACCGCACTCATGAAAATCCTGCTTCAAAGTTTTGATTGTCAACGAATTCAGACATGTTTGACCTATCAAGATGAAGGCAGGAGACGCCCGCCAAGATACACCGATTTTCCAACTTGCTCCTTTTGGATACGTGGATAAAAAAAGCCCACTGCTTCCATCCGACGTTTCAAGCTATCGCCTTAATGCCGCTTTGACTGACAGGCTATAGGTCCACTCGGTTTGGAGTACAACTTCCGTCATTTATCGGCTGCTTATCATCCTGGACCTTATAATTCGCAGTGCGCTCTAATCCAAATCCACGTTCATGCTCATTCCCGTCATCAGGTAGCTCATCCAGCGTTGACCGAAGCCAGCCCCTGCGCAAGTAAAACGACTCGATAAAATTCATCGCCTGCTAAATTGAAATTTCATTTGATGATTTGGTCTTGAAAGGTATTTGCGTGCGGCTTTTTAATTTTTTTATTGAATCTATTCGTCTCATGTTCTAGTTATGGCTTCACTTGAGAGTATGATCAAAATAATTGCCTGAGGACCCATTTTTAAAGCTACTGCAAATGACCACTTAGACTTGATTATCCTACACAAAATGCCTGGAACTACCGGGACATAATTTTTCCTCTCAGAAAGCAATCAACTGATTTGAAGCAGCTAGCTAACCCAAACAAATCTCTCTGCGCCCCAGTATTCTTTTCATGCTCTTCCTACAATCTCAAATGCAACCCAAAGAAATCTGGGTTGTGCTCTTGTCTAGCTCGATGTGGAACATCATTCCCGGCACTTTCTCCATGCCACCGCCAGGCAGGCGACCTTACCCTGAAATGTCAAATTTCTTCCCCCAAGACCTAAGCCCACAGCTTCCGAGCGGCGTGAAGGGTTCCCAGCCAGCTGCAGTTGTCCCAACCAAAAACTGGAACCATTGGCTTTCTGACGAAGGGCTCGGGTTTCATGATTATCATCCCGAAACTTCTCATCGTGATTGGAACGGGATTATGAATTTGATCCGTGAGTCACATTTCCATTTTGTTTTCAACATGTTCTTGAACTCGCTCCGGAGCACTCGTCTTATACGCCGTGGTCGGATACTTGGTGTGCTCAGCGACAACAGAACAGCGTTCGCCGGAACAGCACTTCAACACTATGCGGCCAACTCAATCTGAAGCCATGCAAGACTCCACCAGTTTTTCGCAGCCAAAGCAAATGGAGCTTTATGATCCGCAGTCAGGTAAGTATCCAAGTTTTCTCTTGGATTGTTACCTCCAAGGAACATCTTTTTGGATGTTTTGGAAAAATAAGAAGGGAGACCTCTCTGTTTGCGCGATTATTCACAAAGTTCAATATTGTCCATCTTGCTTCTTTGATTTGCGAATTGACTATCCAGATTATCTACCAGGAGAAGGTAGCCATGATTGCTTTCAATATAGCAAATTGCTTTTGGACGGGAATGAAGAGGAGTTTGTTCAAAATCTAATACTCCAGAAGCATAGCCATCAGCCGTATACCCCTCAGCCGGCCGAGACAACCTCCCTAGTTTGGCCAAATCAAAACCATGGGCCAACTCATGCAAATCAGTTCACATACGCACCCGGCTCCTTTCCAAGCCTAATTTCGACGTCTCGAACAATTCCATCCATGACATTACCCCGGGATCCAGACATTACGATTATTGAACCTTCTATTCAAACCGAAACACAACAACCAAACTCGAGTGAGCAGCTTAAAAATACTTCTGGCGCATCACCAACAGCTAGTCAAGCAGAAACGACTCGTCAGAAGGTTAAAAAGCCAAAAAAACGACCTCATGGCCAATCGATGCACACGCTACCACCCAGGCCTGATAAAAGGTTGAAAGGCCGACTTGAAGAGATACTCTTGCTGTCCAATACTCTTCTCTATACAAATCCAACTCGAGTTGAGCATGCATTCGCCACTCGCCTTGCAACAGCATTTACGACTCAGCAGCAAGCCAAAAAGATCTTCGCTGAGAAATACCCGACTCTCCCCCTTGTACTTATATATTCATACTCAACCAAAGATAGATGGTTGATCGGACTTAATCAAGTCCTGAATCGAGCGGGGGTTCCACAATCTGAAGATACGTTGAAAAGATGTTTCTCACAACTAAGTTCCTCAAGCTTTCTGATTTTCGAATTCTTAGCAAACACTTATCCTATGTTAGTTCCATCTGATCCACATGAATTGATGACTTGGATCTTTGAGAGAATCTTTGGCACCCCCACACGACGGCCGATCATTGGAATTTTTCATAACCCTGAGAACGTCGACATGAAAGTTCCTCTGACAGATGAAACACAACGAATCTTACTATACTTTTTCTCAACAGTTCCATCAATCGGTTCGGCAGAAGTGGCAATCATTCTTATTGGAAAATACTTGACCGAAAAACGTCCGGAATATTGGCGGATCTTTTTCCCAGATTTCAGAACTTATTTGAGGGCAATGATACATACCCAAAAAACAATAAACCCAAAAGTATTGGTGTTGCTTTGTAAACTGTAGCGCAACCACAGATACCTCTTTTGATTGGAATTATACATCCTTACAAGCTTTGTCTTATCCACACACTATTCCCACACTCCAGGATGAAAAATGTACATAGATTCATCAGCACTTTTGATTCTTTTCACATTTCAGTAAAATCTTTGCGCACACAAAAGGACATCACCAAAATTTGTGGCAACAGGGAAACAGCTGCAATGAGCAAGAAAAATACAAGGAGAAGAAAGAAGAACACATGAAACAAGTTCAAGTGATGCTCCTCATGTAAACAACTAGGTCTTCTGACCCAAATACTTTACTGAAAAAGGCAGTTTATTCACCAAAAGACTGGCACTAACTATAATTTTGGATCAATAGGAACCTGCTTGCCAGGGATGAACATTCCTTGGCTAGAAGGTGCGTACCAAAGATGCATATCTCCCCGCAAGCAAGTAAACCTCCTAGCTGCTTGCTGAGAAATAACCTTCCTCAGAAAGTGGACACAAGCTACTTATCAATAAGAAAACCTCATCAACTATCACTTGGAGTCTATTTCCCAAAAAACCAGGAGTGGGAAGGATTCATATGAGTTAAATTTGCTGGAGGTGAAGCTACCTTGGCCAACATTGCCAGTAAGCACAAGTTGCTGAAAAAGGAGGTACCCTTTCCATAAAACAGGTACACCTTGAACCTACTCATCTGATAATATTTGCATTTGGAAGTTTTACAAGGTGTGCCCACAGACCAAGCAGAAGATACTATGGGTAGGGGCAGCAATGAGAAACTATGAAATACTACACTAAATTCCTCCCTTCTGTTAGCATAGTAGCCATCAAAACAGTGCACAACAGTGCACTAACTCTGTAGTGTTAGTGCCACTATACTATGTCAGTGCACTTCTTGTTATGAGTATTCTTTGGAGAGGGAGAGGGGATTGTATGGGTTCTGATTCTTGATGATAGATTGCAAGATGGGGATCCAGGCCTTTCTTTGGCCTGATGTAAAACCCCTCCTCTGTTGGGTTTCACAAGTCCTGTGACCAGCTGGAATGTACAGAATTCTTCCGGTACTTAGTCTGGTCTCTCCCCATCTAGCTAGATGGTAGAGTGTTCCTCTCCACCATCTAGGTAAGTGCTGTTCCATTTCACTCTATCAACAATGGGCCAGCTACGCTAACAATAGTTTTAGCACAGTATAACATAGCGGAATTCTGCTAACATTTAGCCTAATGCACTAACACTTTGTGTGCAGGCCACAAAAAAAGCCCCCCTATACTGTTCTACAGTGAAATTTAGCAGTTTTTTGTCGCTTTTTTCCACTAAAAACACTGCACTATAGTGCAGTGGGACTAACAGTGCACTTAACCTACAGGGTTGGTGCACTGTTTTTTGGGCTGCTACACTAACTTTAGTGGGATTTTCAGAATAGTGTAGTATAGTGGCCCATCAATGACTCTATCTCTAATTTTCTCTTTCTTTTTTCCCTTAGCTGTCATCCTTCTTTCTGATTTCTTGTTTTCCATAGATCTCATATACTTGTGATAGTATTCCTCTATGCCATCTAGTCTTGTAATGTAACCCCCCCTTTTGGTTCTAGAATTCTAGCCTGTACCTCCCATTAAAATGACAAAAGATCAGCAAGGGACTCAATTTCTACACCTGCACACATAGTGTTGGTGCAGATATGGAAGAATTCTTCTACACTACACTAAATTTAATTGGATTTCTTCTGCACTAAGAGCATCCACATTGGTTGACTGGATTGGTGAGGATTAGGAACCTCATTAATCAGAGGATTAGCGGGGTATAAATTTAATACCCGTTAGCTCCAAAACTGACCCTGGAGCTAACCTAATCCAATCTCTAACCCCAACCGGTATGGTTGGGAGGATGAGATTAGGCAGCTAATCTTGCCTAATCCGCACACCAATGCGGATGCTCTAACACTATGGTTAGTGAAACTGGCCCGCCATTGGTAAGAGCCTGTCAATTTATTTTAGCACCCATCATGCCCAAGATCTTTGCTTACCATTTCTTTGTGGTTCTTTAATTATGGTAACTAGTGATGCATGATCATGATGTTCTTTTAATTGCTTTTCCCAGTCCATAACACTACAAACAACAGCTATTTTGCTGCAGGAAGAATTGGACATTTGGGTGGGGTGAAACAGCACTTTTTTTGCACCTTTTTTTACAAAATTCAGTCCCCCACCACTGACAACCACATCACCCAAACTGATGATTCAGATGGGAAACAGTTGACCTATTATCCTTTGTGAAAACCCCTTGAAGAGGATTGGACTGCCTTCATGACAGGATGTCTGCCAACATGCCTGCTGCAATCATTGAGAAACCTTCTCAGACTACCAAGAAGCCAAAACCAACATTCCAATTGACACTCATCTCACCTACTCAACCTCCTGCCCAAAAAAAAATTGTGCAGCCAATGGCCAAATAGCCCCGTCCAACCCATCCAGTATCCAGGAGGTTACCAATAACATGACTCATAAGACACATAGGTCCACCCAAGCAAAGAAAACAAAATTGTAGAATGGGCTCTTCTCTTTCATTATTTCTCACTTTGATCACTTGGGTTTTTATGTTTGATTTATCTTGTTTGTTTTGTCTTAATTGTTTCACCTTAAAAGTAGTCAACACCCAAGTATAACTTCTTCCGCCCCCCCCCCCTTGCAAATTTTGAAATGACTTATAAAATTGCAGTCTGAAGTTTGCTGAACAAATATTACACATCATAATTTGCACATCTTTCTCAGTTTTGGAAACCTGCAGAAAGAATGGCCAGGTCTTGAGGTATGTACGCTCTCTGCGCAAGAGTCACATAATGGTTATTCAAAGAGGTGGCTTTTGATCAACTCATTTTGGGGGAAATGGTATGGCAAGTCTAAATTTCAGAGATGTAACATATGGACCTGGATATCAACCAGGGCTAGTTGTCTATTTATAATAGACTCAGTTACAACCTTTCTATAGTTACAGGAAGCCACAGCAAATTGGTTTGCTACTGTCAACAACCAGGTTTTGAGGATGATGAGGTCTTTGGATGGGGGATGATCTGCAAGCCGCTGAAGAGTTGAAGATACTAGATGTCGGGTTATTAAGTTTATAGTAGAATGGAAGTTGTTTGAAATCAAGTCGGCGAGACTCTGCAAATAATTTAATCCACCCCCGGCTTCTGACCGATTGTAGATATGAAGGATTGCCTCAACGAGCGAATTGACATATATAGGAAGGAGTTCGGATTGCTTTTTAAGCGATTCGATTTCTTGGGAACTCAGCATGGTATCATCAATCGTCAATAGCCGTTGGATGCTCGACGTAGATCCTGATAGTTTCTTGAACAAAAGCCTGTTCAACTTGATGATCGGTATTACCGACTGAGCGATTGGAACGAAGTATGTCCTGGAGGACTCGCTCTCATTGTTGACATCCGAGTTCGAAGATCGATCGTCCTCCGAACCATCGGTAGAGTCAACCTCAGATCGATCAGTTTCAGCTTCGGGTTGATCGTCTTGAAGTGTGCTCGCGGGTTTGCTTAGATGTCCTTTGGCTTCAGAGATTGCTGAATTGATTGGACCAATTATCTTTGGAAGATAACTTTCGAATTCTTCTGCGCACCATTGCCAGCCTTTCCGGAGATAAACAAGGTCAGACTGATGGTAGGAGTCGATGATACGATCGATGCAATCCAAATATGAGTCTGTCTTCCTGACCAATATCTCTCTGGGGTCGTAGGAATCCGATTGATCGTCAAAGTCATGGCCACGATCGAGCGACCTATTGTCTGTATTGGGCCAAGTTAGAAGGATATAATGGGGGAAGAAACTAGAGGTGCTAGTCAACAAAGAATTGATTCTTTCAAGCAGAGCAACGGTCCTATATCTTTTCAAAGCTCCCCATTCCCGGTCATTGTTGCTTGGTGATTGACGTGTTTCGCAAGCGATATGTTCGACGGAACGTCTGATCTGATCCAGGGTGTGATCGATTTTGGCAGTCATCCCCAGGATATCAACGTGCTTGTAAAGGTGTGGCTTTTTCGCGAAATCACTCTGATCATCTGGGTCGGATGAAAATAGCTCTTTAATTTGCTGTCGGAGGATAGGTAGGATGCTCGTGTGTAATTGGAACAGCAGAGCTTTGGATTCGTCAATTGATAGCGCTTCCTTGGTGCTGGCTATCTTCTCATCAATCGGCTCTCGATGTCTCTTCCACACCCTTGTAAGCTCTCTAATGATCGTAATCGTGTCTTCCCGAGCATCACAATTATCGGCGGGTCTGTGGGCGTGCGAATGAATTTTGAGCACATCTGTCCGTCCAGTTTTTTTTTTGTGGATTGAAAATCGATGAAATGAACTTACGTCGAATCGCTCGATACTGTCGATTCAGCATTAGGATCGGTCATGACTACCATGGCACGGTACCGGCGCTCTATGTAGCTTCAGTGCAGTTCGAGTCAAGTCCAAGAAGCCGATCAGTGCAGGCGCAATTGATGGAGCTGCTAAAGTATTCACTGAAGTTTGGAACTATGTTGTATATAGTCCACAATTAGATTACTGGCCCATCGATTGATCCGAAGATGGTCTCGGACTTTTCAAACGACTCCATAGAAAGGATTCACAAAACTCTCCATAAATTTCCATGTGTAGAGTTAAGAGGAAAGCTTTCTGAAATATCAACAGGCCGCATTACTACAACTGCAAGCAGTGATCCGAACGGCACGACGGTGCCGCCAATACACCGCAGCTAGTAGGAAAGGCTGAAGAAGGATCGGTGGAATTGACTGGCCCCTGTTGGCCAAAAGCCTAGTGGAGGACTTCCCGTCGGATCTGGGACCCTCGAAGTTTTCGATTTAGACCCAAAAATTCTAGATTTTCGCAGGGAAATCTAGCTTTTGCGGCTCTAAATGGAAACTGGGAGACCCGCAGATGTTGACGGGAAGTCATCCAGTCAGTGCTTTATAATCTTGACTATCATTGGACCCATTGGTGTTTCTAATCCATTTTTTTCCCCTCTGTGTGATAGCACTGGTCACTTGACCAGAAAAGATAAGATCTGGTAAAAAGTAACCAAAACTGCTTGACTCTGTTTGTGAAGATGATTTTGCTCAAGGAGGCCTAGATGTGTTGTACAGTCACCTCCCAGATGTTTATAGCCATCTATTTTGAGCTCCACACCTGGAACCCAAAAAATTTCAAGTCACAAGAGTTGGTGAAATGGTGGAAAATGGGTCGCAAAGAATGAATATGAAAAAATAATAATGATAAACAAGATTATAAAATTTGTAAAAAGTAAAAAGGAGAAAATCACAAAAACTGACAGCTCTAATATTTCTTTCAGGAAAAGATGAAATCTCTGAATTGATAGTATGAGATCTGGAATGAATACAGCTATTTCGGAAAGGGTTGTCCAGTTGTCTCTCGCTTTTTTTTTTTTTTTTTTTTGAAAATTTTTAAATTTTTCTTTGTACTGAACTACAGCCGAGGAGGTACAGCTGTCATCACTAGTTCAGTTCTGACAGGTCTAGTTCAGTAAAAAAATAAAAAATAAAAAAAATAAAAAAATAAAAAAGATTTCGCGAGTCCAAGTGGACAACCCTTTCCGAAATAGCTGTAATAAGAAGTGAAAATTTGGAAAAAAAATGACTACTTGGTGGTTTAAAAAGGGTGCTTAGGGGGTCATTCATCAAGAGATGTGGCATTCTGGTACTGCAATCTACTGATTTTGACTGCAGGGTGTCAACCCACCATGCTCAAACTTTTTTTGGATCAATATTTTTCATTTATATCATTCTTTTCATGTTCCAAACTTGCACTCTGTGTGTTCACTTTTCACTCAAACAAAAAATTAAAGTTTTGAAAAAAAAAGTTGATTTTCTTTTATCTTTTTCAAAAATTTTGAAATATTGATTTTTATTATTATTTTTTCATATTCATTCTTTGAAACCCATTTTCCACCATTCCACAAACTTTTGTGACTCAAAGTTTTTGGGTTCCCACTGTGGAGCTCAAAACAGATGGCAATAAACATCTGGGAGGAGACTGTACTTGAAGTTAAACTGGATCAAGATTTGGCTTATGAGTCTTCTGCCTTTGAATACGGTGGGCCACAAGTTACAGCTAAGCATACAACTAACAAAAGTTACAGATTGAATACTTCAGTTATCCAGAAAAATTAAATCATCATGGATTGGTCTTTCCTGCTTGTTGAATTTGTGTGAGAAATTTTCTTTTCTGGGCAATTCAATGATTTTTAATTATTAGATGTGTGACCAATGATTCAGCTGAAATGTTATAAGCTGAAAAATTGGTCACAGATCTAGTAGTTAAAAATAAATTACTTGACAATAGACTTTTTGTTCCAGACAACTTCAAGGAACAGGAAAGACCAATCTCTGATGATTTAATTTTACTGTATAACTGAAGTATTCAATCTGTAAATTTTGTTAGTTGTATGGTTAGCTGTAACTTGTGGCCCACCCACTCAGCCTGATTTATCACCCATCAAATCTCATCAAGTTTTTCATTTAGCCTACTTGATATTGCACATCAAATTACCAATCAGACCAAGTTGAATGTCCTCATCATCAAACAAGCTTGCTCTTTACCTGCCAATACAGCAAGCAAAAACAATGCAAAGAACGGTCAAGATTTGTCTTTTGTGATCAATTGCAAAAGTAATTGCTTGGACAATGTCAACTTTCAAGCCTTGCAACCTCAACACTCAAGAAATATCACCTAATGCTGGTGATCTAAATCCACTCACAAACATTTTATCTCTCTCAATTCATTTCCCTGTTTTGCAAGCTTTGATCATCCTTATATTCTCACTTACACGTGGCTATAGTCATCTTTGTTTGAAGCCACTTTCTCATTTCTTGTAATCCTGAACATTGTCCACCCTATTACTCTTGCTCTCACAATAACCAAACTTCAATGAGCTTCAACCTAAAAACTAAGGCATGGTCCCAGGGTTTGGGACGGGGTTTGAGGCTAGTCCCGAGGAACAAACCTCGGGGTTCAGGGTTCAAACCCCGGAGCCCCGGGGTTTTGATTTTTTTTTTCAGGTGCCAGATCAAGTTTCAACCAGCCAAAGAAGATTTCCTTTTGGCTGGTTGGCGAGGGGAAAGTCTGAACCCTCCCCAGCCGGTTGGTACAGACTCACCTACCGGTCACAGAGGATTCCTCCCCGGCTGATCGGTTCAATCAGTACCAACCAGCTGGGGAAGAATCCATATTGGCCGGTAGACGAGTCTGCATCAACCAGCCAAGAAGGGCTGCCCTTGGCTGTTTGGTAGATGCTGTACCAACCAGCCGGGGAGGAATATCCCATCGCCGGTTCGCTGTATCAACCAGCCCGGGTGGAATGACCTGTCGCCGGTTTGCTGTACCGGCCAGCCGGGAGGAATAAAGCTCCTCCTTGGCTGGTCAGTAGTGTGGCGACTGCCATAGTCCAGACCCCCTATGCATAGAGGCGGGTGTAGGGGGTAGGAAATCGACTCAATGACCATTGACAGACAGTTTTTGGGATTTGTTGGCTAGAAATCTCTATAATATATCAAAACCCCGGAGTTCCGGGGTTCTGCTTAACCTCATCCCGAGTCCTGAACCCCGGGGTTCGGATTTGGCCAAAACCCTGAACCCCGTGTGTTGGGGTCATGCCTTACTAAAAACTCTTGATATGTGTTGGATATTTAAAACTGATGTTGATTGGACCAGAACAGGTTGTGTTGCTCTACAGAGCCTAGTTTCATTTGATTGATAAATTTTGTATCCACAAGCCCCCACTGAGGGCCAGTGGACTGCTTCCCTTCAGTATACCAGTTTGAGGATATTATAGAGGGTTACAAGAAAGAAAAAATGAGTTGAATAGCATCAAGAAGCTCAAGGGCTATAGAGTAAAGTTCCAACGGTGCAACAGATACAAGACATGTATTTGTATTGGATCGTATTGTCTTTATTTTGAGCCTGATACAGGTATCAGTATTTTTTTGGTTGGTGAAAAAATCCATTGTCTCGGATTTGGATTTACGAATGAACAAAAAAATCGACTTCGTTTTTTTGTTTTTTCTTCAATACGGCCAAATATCTTGTGTATCAAATACGGTTTTGGGTGGGATGAGTCATCTGAGACAATACAGAATACATTTCTCACTTTTCAAAGACGATACATGTGTATGTCTCAGGAAAGTGAGACAACACAAATCCGGTATTTTTGGGTATTCAAATTCTGAGACGATACGAATAAATGCCTGATACCGTCTCGTATCGTCTCTGTTGCACCATTGAGTAAACCTTGACTTGAGCAATCAAGGAAGGAAGCAGATGAGAGAATTCAGCTACTGTTTATCAATTAAGTGATTATGCAATTCTCACCTATCCATCAACAAAATTCATTTTGAATATTTACTCATACATTGCAATTGTTGGGTTTTTTCATTTTGAGTAGCTGGGATCATAAAAAAAACCCCGCATTGAATCAACCATTATTCAGGAATCCGTGGCAGATTTTGTGAAGCAATCAGCGGGGCAATATAACCAGTTTTTGCTCCAATTCAGGGTTGACTGAGTACAATCGTAGTGTCACAGACCTTTCACAAACAAAACTTTGGAGATATCACAGGAACAAGAGCAACAAAACCCGCTCAGGGAATTGATTGACTTGGCAATTGAACCGGTGGGTTGGCTAAGGAAAGCATTAAAAATTTTGTGAAGATGGATACTGTAGAAATAGATCAAATGTAAGGGGATGTAATGCAAAACCAACACAAGGAATTGGAAAGGAAGTCAATGATACACAGGATCACATCAATGCAGACACTCTTGAGCTGTTTCCAGAACATGATGAAGTAGTAAAGCTTCCCACTTCCATATAACGTGGGCTGGCTTGGGTACATAGGTGCTCGCGACATGGGGGGTAAATACTCAGATACAGAAATAGACATGCCACACACATTTGAATGTAATACACTGGGTTGATGTGGAAATAGTGGCCTCACAAGCTGTTGCGTTCAGAGAGCTAGATGCGCAGCTTCATCTTTCCTATCCAACAAGGCAAAGTGAGCAGCCCATGAGGACCCATTTGGACAAAGAGTTAGGTGAAAGTAACCATTGAGCAAATATAAATTATGACTTCATCTTGATTCAGAACTAACCATCTTATGTTTCTTTTCCGGTTGATCAGCTTGGCTTCGACAAAATCGAACCCAACTGCCTTGGGGAGAACATCGTCAGCTGTTATCCAAACTTTGGCTCAAGTTGGCAAGTAGAGTAGTAGGCCACCATTGATTTTGTTACCTAAATCTTGGTCTTGTACCAGTTTGTACCTGTCTACGTTGTGGATTTCAGTCTCTGCCGGGAAATTCCGGGATTCATGTCGGGCTCCGAATAAGTTATTGCACACTCAACAGTAAATATATCAGATTTATACGCTGAAACCTGTCTACAGGCTTGGTTTTCACTTACTGACATCCAGCCTCAAGGTCCATCTCGTTGTAGCATATGGACTGGATAAAGAACAAGAAGATGTCTGCTCAAAACAAACTCCTACAATGTCTGCTTGGTAATTGGATGCCTCTTGTTCAAGGTAACCTCAAAATTGGATAGCCTTCAGACCATGACCGCTTGGTGTTCCCAAGGTCAGCGAATGGGTCCATAAGGCTTTCCGTCGAGAAAGATCCGGTTTTGTCACGTTTCTGAGACCGCTGTGCCAAATTGCTAATCCATCTGAAGCTAAGAAAGTGAGCTTGACATCACACATACCCAATTGTGCCACCCTATGACTATCCCTAAAAGCAAATTGAATGAATTCTGATGTGTATGCATTCTTTTTTGTCCAACAGGGTTATCCATGGGCCTTTGGTCAGATGTGCAATGGTGATTTTTTGAGTGTCGATGGGATCTTTACACGTCCGGGCCAATCACTACTTTGGGACAACAAAAAACATTTTGATGGTTTTGTAGACCTCCGGTCATCTGATCTCATGAAACGGGCAGGTCACTCGGGAAAGAATCTTGGTACATACCTAAGCGTGAGTGAGCTTCTGCTTGCTCATCTTGACATACAAAAATTCCAGGAAGCTTGGAAATCTTGTTACTGACCGTTAATGTTTTTGTATTTTACAGGTAACAACTTCCAATACCGAGATGCTTTGACTGTGGGCTGCAAATGCCAAAGAGCTTTTTCCTAACCCGAAGGGTGAGGAAACCCAACCAGTTGGAGGGAAACATTGCAATCCAGTCGATGCCTGCCCATAACATCGGCATCACATTGGGAAATCGATGCGATGCTGATTCTCCGCATCAGTTTTTCCAATGCGGGCGATGCGATGCGGGGCCCTGCATTGCTCACTCCATGTTATGGGTGTTCTGGGGAGAGCAGGAGGGGATCTTCAGGGTTCTGGTCGGTGATGGTAGATTGCAAGATGAGGAATGTACAAGGTTTGGATCTCAAACAAACTTCAAGTTCGAAGTTCGTGACATGTACGTAACAGGCTCTCTACATATGTAACATCCCCAGTTCCAGTCCTCCACAGCTCATAACACTCCAATAGGGCAGTTCACGTTCTGCTGATGTTAACCATCAGCAGTCGAACCTTGTTAGAATCCCTATCTTAAGGTTTATGGGAAAGCAACACAGTTTAGTGGGAGACTCCCCTTTGGAGTTGAAATCCCACAATTAAAGTTCACAAAGTTTGTGCATCAGCAAACAAACCTTGTGCCACATCAGCAGCATTTTTGGTGCAACGTGAACTGCCCTAATACCATGTGATGTGATGCCGATGCACGCATTGCATCAGATTGCATCCGTTTCATTGTTGTTGGAAGCTATCCCAACCGCAGGCACCCATGTAACTCCTGTGTTGAAGGGTTGGGTCAATGGCAGCTCCCAACATCTACTGCATAGAAACACACCAAGCAATTCAGGGGGGGGGGTTGGCAGGGTCAGTTTGACATTGGATCTAATGTTGGCCCCTGGTTGCACACAACCTGTGGTGTAGAGAACTAGAGGGCAGTCTTGGAAAGTAAAAGGGTTTGAAAATTGCAGACATCTTGCAAAGATGCATCAAGAACAGAACAAATGTAAACTGAACAAAAGTACTGGCTGACAGGGTCCCTGAGTAGCAATGTTGGCCACATATAATGATCAGGCTCACATGGCAACAATATACATAAATATGTGAACATGGATGTGTTATTGTTAAGGCTTCATATAATGAGCTTCTCTGAGTCACTTTCCAGCCCTTGAGCACTAACTCATTTCCTCAAGTTCATCAGAAATAAATTTATCATTAATTTTCAATGTTTGGTTCTAGACGTTTGGTAATCAGGTTCAAACTTAGACAACATGGACCCTGGGTGACTTGCTGTTGGAATCTACAACCCTTTCAGAAGTCAATTTACACCCCTTGGGTTTATTTTTTTTTATTAAAAAAATCTGAAGCCTTCTAGAAATAGTTGTCATGAGAGACAGTTGAAATCTTAATTGTGTTGTTGGTTTAGGATTGAGAGAGGTGTAAAAAGCATTCTAAATTGTGATGGGAAGTCCTCCCCTGAACATAACTAGATTCCTTGTTTCCTTTTTCCCCACAAAAATTAGTGTCTGGTGATCATTTGTGGTAGCAAATGATTTGAATTTTGAGCTCTTGGTTCTTTAAATTTGAAGCCTCCAAGATAGGTTGGATTAAGAAAGAATAGCACAGCCTCTCTGTAGTTCATTGAGGGAGGCTAGGGTTGGGGATGGACCTTGGGGTCCGAAATGGAAGTGATTTTAACTTCAAGAGCTTGAAAGATGCAAAATTCGCCTTCTGGTAAGGTCTCACGACCGCCTGGCGGGATTTTGGCGGCGAATTCTTGGACCTGATCATTGTTTTTCTGTCGCACTTTGAAGGATACGACTCCTGAAGAACGGTTTTGAAATACCCAACTTCTGTCCAGAGGGTGTACTACCAGGATTAGACGAAAATGTATGCGGAAATGGACCTCTTGTTGTTCTTTAACGTCAAACTTCGCAGGAAGCTTCAACACCCAAGCAATCGGAGTCAATGTATATCGACAGGCTGATCAAGATACGGATGCACACTTACCGCGATATATTGTGAAAGTTTGTCAAAGATCACGGGAAATATCTTTGGACCTATTATTTGATGTACCATCAAAGTGATGATCAAGACGCGAAGGATGAGACGCAGTGAGCTTTTCATGGTAATCGAAGTTTTTGTCGATTTGTCTTAAAGGTTTCGTTCGCGACAGGATGACATAGATTGTTGAAGCATCAGATCAGGATTCTTCGGGAAGCTAGATACATAACAATTCATTCGGACTTGAAAAAGTAAAGAAATCAACCAACTCACTCGGAAACTGATCGATCGACTAAGACAAAGCTGCAGAAGGGAGCGCGTTGGTTGTCCAATTGGTAGCCCGGAACGATGAAGATATGATGGATCCCGATTCCGGGCGCAATTTGTACCGTTCGGGGGCTTTTAGCGTCCTGCAACATGCGATGCGACTTGTTTTTACATAGGCCGACGAGGCTCGGTGGACACGGTGCGGTAGCCTGCCATTATTATCAACAACACAACCACCACGGAAACAGTCTCCGCGATTGTGTACAATCAGAAACGGTGTTGAGATACATATCCCGTTTTGTCAGACTGATGCAGCTGTACCAGGCCCCAATATTGCCCTTATACAGGCTACGGGGTGGCCAGGAATAGCCCCACTACTACGGCTTCACCACTGCCGAGTCATGAGACTTGTAACAAAACATCTCATCGTTCTCTTCCGAAAATTCAGAAATTATGTAGCCCGAAACCTCTCCGAGATGAGAAGTTTGCAATTCATCTTAGGGTGAGGGGAGGCCGAGCCGCAACTGTCGCTTGGATCCGAGTTGTTGACCTTCCCGATTCTCCCGATGCCGGAACACCCCGATTCCGGGACACCGTCCGACATTTCAATTGCACGATTTCGACAGAATTCGGCTCGATCCAGGAGACCGCAGTGCGCATGGAAATTTGGCGAATGCCATCTGAGAAAAAACTTGTTCACTTCCGCTGGAGTGCAGCGTGGAGGCTTGCTATTCATAACCGGCTACTGGTTACTTAATTGTCCTCTTTTCTCCAAGGTTCTTGAATGCTGCTGAGTGTTTTTGAAAACACCTGATTGAGAGGCACAGATCTTACCAGCTATCATCGCAGCAGGAATGCTAGCTCCGAGGATATCTATCTTCAAAGTGTTAGTCCGAGTCATATGGTCATCATTTGTTCAGTGACATTCGCGGCACGGAAGCGTGTTGCAAGTTGAGAACAGACTGAAGAGTACTCCTCAAATTAATCAGTCCAGTCTAAACCTAGCTCATCAAAGCCTCTCGAATGGGCGTTCCCGCGTGGAGGCGGGCGCTTCGCGCCCAGGGAGGGACTTGTAATAAGTTAGAGTCTCAATTACTTACTTTGCTGTTCATGCTTTGAACAAAGCCGGCAATAGAGGGTTATCAGGAGACAATATTCATTCAATGGGATTCTAATTTCTATGCATGCGAAGAAAGTTTTGAGTGTTCTTGCGCGTGCTAATATACTCAAATGATCAGTCCAAAAAGGTTGTGGATTGTTTTCCTTATAATTGCTCCTAGCTTTTTTAGATGACCATACATCAAATAGAGTCTGTCCAGAAAGCTGATTTTGCTGTTATGAAAATGTGTTTCATCTTGTTTTTAAGCTTCCTTATAAGCATACTACGGCCGGGCTATCCCGGCTTACACCTCAATTTCTGTTGGACACACCTCCTCTTACACGCTAGTGATGTAGTAGTCAATCGGGAGCTCTAGGTCTTGTGGGATGGTCTTATAGGTTGAGTGGGAGGGTTTATCCGCCTCTTGCGCTGCGCCAATCTTCGACCCTTGTGGCAGTTGTTCCATTAATTAGGAGACGCTCGCGGCATGGCAGATGGAATTGCCAGGCTAGTATACACCTTTTTCAAGTCACAAACTTTGGATGACCATGTGTTGATCAGAGGTCTAGTGCTACAACAAGAACGAGAGTTGATCTGCAGGCGAGGCCAGAAATTTGTACACTAGACTCGGTTGATGGGGCCATTTTAAGCTTTATCAACTACATTCTTCTAATAATCATGTGAGCCCATGATTACTCCCCGGTTCATTAGGCAGGGATCTCGAGACTAGTAACGCGTCCAGCCTTGTAACTCTTGACCACCGCGCGGATCGACTCGGTCGTTGTCCTGCAGTGCGAGTACGCGATCAGATAATATTTCCACGCGAGACATGCTGGATACAGCTTCACTGGTTTATTTATTTATTTATTTCTTTAATATTGTTGCGTACTAAATGTAGTAACAGGCCGGCTGTGGCTAGTCTCGTTGTAGTGCCGATGGATACAATTGTCTGAGCTAACTTGAGTGGGTACAGACGTTAAGCTTTTGCTTCATGAGGGCTGGCAAGCTGATGGGCAAGTCTGCGGGTTCAAGGGTCGTTGTTGCATGGCAGCCGGCTCTGCTGATTGAGCGGTGGGTTTAGCTTTCTCCTGTCAGCCTGCTCCGTGAGCCCCGACCTGCTTACGTAATATGGACTACGCTGTGCCCCCCTTTGGTATGGCTTATGGGGGATCCATACAGCCCCTCCGCCCGCCGAGTCGCGAGTCTGCAACTCTCCACCTCCACCAGCCAGACTTGACAGTGACCAGCCCTCCTCTCTCTCTGACCCATTGCCCTCCCTGCGTCTATAGTCATTTTACCCACACACCCACCTCATTAATAGTCATCCAAGTGTCCCTCCATTCTCTTCTCGATCAAGAAACATATCATCTGCTTCCATCCAGAAGCCCCCCAACTGTCTCTGTGAGAATGGGTACCACAACAATCTACAAGGTTAGCAGTCCATTCTACTCCTTCATGCTGTTTTTGGCGCGGAAATTAACAGTTGCTTCCTTCTTCTCCGCTGCCGCTTCTTCGCTTGATCGTTGCCAACTTGTAGGCGACTTACTCAGGTTAGTTTAGGCTTTTCAGGGACTCGAGGTTTTTTACGACCCCAACCCCCCTGTGTTGGCGGTGAATATAGTAGAACACATGCAAGAAAGGAATTGAAGGGCTTTCGCCACTGATGTATTTTTGGGAACTGATTCAAGTGTTTATGTTCTTCTTCTGCCACCTTGAACCGCGATCGTCAAAAACCGCGTTATAACTGCTTTCGACGTGTCGTGGCAATTAATTCAATTCATGTCGGTTCACCAGGCGTACCGGTTTTGGAGATGCCGTGCGAGGGTATAGCAGTAATGAGAAGGCGTAGTGACTCGTGGCTAGTGAGCATTCATCTCTTATATATCAAAACAATTCATCCCCGATTTGAGTTCTATTGGAAAATATTCAATCCTGCTCTCTCTGGTCAAACTATTCTTCAACTTGACAGAACGCCACCCAAATTCTTAAAGTCGCTGGTTTCGACAAGCCTCAAAGGACACGGGTTTTGGAACGTGAAATTCAGAAAGGCACGCACGAAAAGATTCAGGGTGGCTATGGCAAATATCAAGGTGTGTATCGTTTCTCTCTACTTATTATTTGATTTGAAGATAAGATAAGATGGGGCTTCAATTTGCATCAGCGAAGCCCGCGTTGTTGAATACCTGATTTCATAAGATGATGTTACATTTACTGACGCATTGGTCGGCTTTGTTTCTTCACAACTCTTCCCCTCTCAAGGAACTTGGGTGCCCCTGGATAGGGGTATTGATCTCGCTAAGCAATATGGGGTAGATCACCTCCTTTCTGCCTTGTTTAACTTCCAGCCATCCTCGAATGAATCCCCTCCGTTGGCCCCTAAACACGTCACAGCCCTCTCCACACGAGTTAAGGTTTCCAAAGTTTCCGCCGCCTCTGCCGCTCGTGCCGCTCGTGCTGTTGTTCCCTCCCTTCCTTCCACTAGTGGTCTTGGCGGCCGCAACACGAATAACAGCTGGTCAAATTTTGATTCCGACAATGAGCCTGGCCTACCCCCGGCCGCTTCTTCTCGCGAATCTAATGGGAATTGGGCCACACAGTCCAAGCTAGCACGCTCCAGCAATTTGGCGCGTGCGCGCGCCAACATCAATAACTCTCATCCTGAAGACCTACCCGTCCCAGCACCTGATCAACTCCAAGCTAGCCCCCTGCCCTCTATGCAAACCGCCGATCCTGAAAATGATAACAGCCTGACACCAAGCGAACTCAGCTTACCTAGCAGAACCCCTAGTCCGATCGAAGATCTTCCACTCACCGTCAACACCGCATCCTCACAATCGACCCGGAATAAGGGCAAGTCGCGTGATCTTCCTGACGATGAAGACTTGAGTCGCGGCCAGAAGCGCAAATATGATACCAGCCTAGTCGAAGACACTTCCTACAGTGACGGAGCGGATGATCAATATATCAATGGCAATCCATCTAATGCTGCCTCGGCGAAATACGCAAAATTGATCCTCGACTACTTTGTATCTGAATCAAGTCAAATCCCGAACTTCTTGAATGACCCGCCATCTGACTTTGATCCGAATGTGGTGATTGATGATGACGGGCATACCGCGTTACACTGGGCATGTGCGATGGGCCGGATCAAAATCATCAAGCTTTTGTTGACTTGTGGGGCGGACATATTTCGTGCTAACAATGCTGGACAGACCGCGTTGATGCGCGCAGTGATGTTTACCAACAACCATGATCTGAGGACGTTTCCGGAGTTATTCGAGTCTTTCAGTGGCTCGGTCATCAACATTGATAGAACTGATCGTACGGTGTTTCACTACGTCATCGATATTGCATTGACCAAAGGGAAAGTCCCCGCGGCACGCTATTACCTCGAAACAATTTTAAGTCAGTTGTCGGAGTACCCTAAAGAGTTGATCGATATCCTCAACTTTCAAGACGAAGATGGAGAGACAGCGCTCACTCTTGCAGCCCGTTGTCGTAGCAAGAAACTCGTCAAAATCTTACTCGATCACGGCGCCAATCCCAAAACAGCCAATCGCGATGGCAAATCAGCAGAAGATTATATACTGGAAGACGATAAATTTCGAGCACTCTCTCCGACGCCCTGTTCTTCTGGTCCGATCCGCCAATTGGACCAAAACTCGCCTGGGGGTACCAGTAATCGCAGTGATTTTGTCGACTTGGTCGACCCAGTTCCTATAGATTCCAACTTGATCCCACAGCGCAGTCCGAATGCATCTCCCCCTCATTATTCAGAAACCGGACAGAGGGTTACTAAACAATTATTGCCTGAAGTTACCTCGATGATAGAATTGCTAGCAACTACATTCGACACCGAGCTACAAGATAAAGAGCGAGACTTGGATCATGCGGTCGGACTACTGAGTAATATTGAAAAGGAATATCTGGAGGGACAAAGAAAGATCTTGAATTATGAAAGAATGTTGTCGGATTTTGGGGAAAAGAAGTTAGCCTTAGGAGATCTAGAAAAGGAATTGAATGACAAGCTAGGTAAACGGTATAGGTTCGGTTGGGAAAAATATGTGCGAGATGAAGAAGAGCGGGCGAGACGGATCACAGAGCAACGATCGAAATATCTCCAAGAGCTTTCCATTGAAGATCGAAAACTGTTAGATAGTTCAAATCTCAGATTTGCGGACCCTTCAAAACAAGAAGTCTTGATGAAACTGCAAGCGGATGAACGAGAGAACTCAGACTTGTTAAACTTGATAAGGACCAACTCGACTGATGTGGAGAGTGAATGTGATCTACTGAGAGAAAGTGTGCAAAAGTTGAGCGAAGAGAGAGAGAGACTGTTCAAAGAATTCATCAACCTTTCGAGCGAAAACACGGGCGGAGAGAATGAGGAAGACGATGGGGCAAATCATACGAGTGCGAATACCAGTCGGTTGAATAACTACAGAAAGCTCATCAGTTTGGGATGTGGAGGGATCGGTCTAGATGAAGTCGATGAAGTGATCGAAAGCTTGAATGAAGGGATCGACGTCAACGAACTCAATGATAACGGTTTCTTGACTGAACAAGACGAAGAACTAGGAAATCATCAAAACTACCACAACATTCACACCCAAGGCAGATAGAACTATCAGCTTCGGATCCGATCACCATTCCAATCATCCTGATTCAAGACATCCTCAAGCAAGTCTTCAAATCCTGGTTAATCAACATGTACATTGTTTTTCCTCGTAATCTGCAGCGCCATAATCTTGTATGCTTCTGTTCAAATCATAAAAACCAGCCGTTCAGCATTCCAAATTCGAGTCAATAATTTAAAAAATATTTTTTTTTTGATTGACTCAGACTAATATCACCATCAAAACCAACTACATAATTCAAGATAATCAATGCACTAAGAAAAAAAAATTGTTGTTTTTTAATTATAAATATATGTATGTCTTTCTGCTTTACATATCCCTGTTAATTTATGTTTTGTTTGTCTTGAATGTTCAATGTCTTACAAAAAAAAACAAAGAGTAGAAGAACAAAAAAAACCAATTATATGTATTACTCATTGTGATATGAGAAATAATCTTGGGGTACGTGTAAGTTCTGGATTTTTGTGTCCTCTTGTGTGTCTGCTACAAATCCTTGGCGTACATAACTTTGGAGATATATATTGGAGGCTGTATGTATCTTTGCTCATGCTGGCTCTTTGAATCCAGAATTATCTTTTTTTTTTAAATAAAGATCTTAATTAAAACCTGCAAGGTTTGGAATTCAGGATGATTGTAGAAGACCATGAGTCTTCAATTCAAGCTGGAAATCTAGACTCAGGTGATCGAGTTTTGTACACTGTTCCTTGACTATCCCGTTCCCTCTGGTACATGTCTATTTACATAAAAAAGATTCCCCAAGACTCTAACTCGAGTAAGGAGATGGCTTACATCCACACCATCTGCCAACTATTTTACCACCTTTCAATGATGTGAGAGGGTCGGGAAATGAAGCATAAGAAACCTAACGCAGAGAACTTGAATCGAGAGAGACAGTTTCACTGTCATTGCTGATTTCAACACCTGCAGTGATAGCTAGCCACACTGGATAGATCAACCACCCATAGGCCCAGATGATGGACATCCTATCTCAAGCCTATACTATTACCATGGAGGATGGGCCTGGGCTCTGGCTTGAAGAATGATAGAAAAACACAAAATCTGTAGGTCGCGTCGGCTGTGTGCAGACGATAAGGGTGAAACATCTCCGTCGCAGTCGAAAGAGTCAAACAAGTTCTACGTATGAATCCAGTCACGTTTTTTGCTCATCGACGGCCGAGGAAAGAAGTCCTATCTATGCAGCCCTATAGTTTTGTTGCTAGTGTGAACAAAGAGAGCAGTTTTATAGTTACGGTGATTGTCCAAATATCAACCTGAAACTGATTCCAAAGCTTTATTGCAAAAACACTGGGTTCCTACTCGCCTTTGGTTGTTCGGATTTCGTCATTGCATACTTCTACAGTCACCCGCTCAATCGTTTCGTCGAGGTCTGGTCGCATTCCTCTCCACTCCGACCATAGCCGAATATTGGGGCAGGGAGCAGGAAAGTTTCGAAGCTGCCGTATGGTTCGCCCTACTTGGCTTTGGCTCACACTTCTTTTTACCGCCTGGTGTAGCCCATCAGTGTCTAAAGGACGAAGGAAATTCGCACCATTCACATTATGTTCGCGCCTCGTGCATGGAGACGACTGGTCATCATGTCTCTGACAACATTAACTTGGGATTCATCCTGTGAAAATCAGTCGAACGCACCACAAAACAGGACAAGAACCTGGGGATCTCATCGTGAGAACAAAGACCTACTTATTTCCTTCTCCAGGCCTCTGCACAAGATTGTCGATCCTTCTTTTTTCATGTTTATTTCCAGAATTCAATATAGACAAGGAGCCTTGTCGTAAAATCCCCTTGAAGCCTGCTTTGTGGTCTCAACTGGGAATGAACGATTATCTGGAAAATTATCCCGGAGGATCAAAGATAACTCTTCAGGTAAAGAGAAGAAACACTCACCTCATGCGCTCGCAAGAAGACGACTTCTTCTCGCTTCGATAATACTTACCACTCCGCCAATACCGCATTCTTCTACATTCTTTTGTGGGATCCATCTGCTTTTGACTCTCTAGGAATACGCGAGTCAAGTGGGCGCGACAGACTTCTTCCCTGGAATTGGCGAGCATCCACATAGTGGTCAGGTCAGCTTCCGTACAGGATTATCAATATGGATAAAAAATGATTATACACGCAAAGAACAAGTAGTTCATGTTGGATCAAGCTGATCATTTTTTTCGGGAAACATATCCCCAGTTGTGTGAAGCTGTGAAAGGTCGAGATTGGTACGCGCTTGTGGCAGCTCAAAATTGGAACTCATTTGTTAACAGTCTGTATGATTCAGCTGGTTACGCGTCAGTGGTTTGCAGTTTCCGCACTCTGCGCATGTGTGCCACTGGCTAGAACTTGACCTTTTTTTTATAACATCGTTCACCCATTTCCTGTCGAAATATCATTCTCAATCCCTCAGATTTGGAATAATGACAGGTACGAGTGTCCAGTATGTGCAATCATCGTGGATTTCTTCAGCAGTGTAAATTGAAGTAGTTTTTGTAACAGGTATCATACCCGAGATGGTAAATCTGTGTGACAAATCTCGTGATGGCTTTGAAGTATTGAAGTCGGCTGCTGAGATTCATTATGATCCCTGAGCGAATTTAGTTGATTGACTTCGAAAAAGACCCAACCAGGGTGTACAAGACTGCTGTAGGATTATTCAAGTCTTTCTTTTTTTTCAAAACAAAAAATGATTGGAATGCTTACCATGTTCTCACTGTTCTAGGCATCTTATGTGGGACTTGTGACCACTTGGGTGAGCTGCTTCCCGGGGTGTATATTCAGTACCTGGGCCCCGATTACTAGCACAATGTTCGACTCCCTGGGTGAAATTGCTTGGATTTCATTGGTCGGGGTGCTGTACGTCTCTACCTCGTTTGCTTTCATAAACTCAGTCATCTTTTGTTGGTACCGGTGAGAGTAGATTTCAAAGGGTATATAAAATTCCAATTATGTTTGACTCAGCTCCAACAATCAAGTGAAATTAACGATTTTCAATCGATTATCCAGGGAGCAGATATAGCAACTATGATGGCCCAAGCCCAAAGAGCAGTTCAATCAACTATCTCCAACATCACTCAAAATGTGTTGAATTCACCAATCAACCATCTCGAGGGTCTCGCAGGTCTAAATCGTGATGGAAGTTTTCTGAACGAAGTCCCATCCAACTTCCAGAACAGATTACAGAGAGAGCTGGAGCTTGCTTTGAAATTGAAATCCTTGGCAAAATTCTGGAGAGTCCAAGTGAGGAAAAAAAATCCTTTAAATTTTGGGTGGCCTATGAGATTCTCACTTTGACTTGGGTGCTTTCTGGCAGAACGCCTTCATTGTCCGAGGTAGTGTGTGTGGCCATTGTTTTACATTTAGATTTTGCAAGAGATCATTGAATTAGATAAGCTCACAAAGCTACCTCTTCATTCCTCCCTAGGATCCTTGTATCTACTCAGGAGTCAATGGCGCTTTTGACGATGCCGATAAGCTGTCATACTGCGGAGAAGATAACATGTTAGTCTCAATATTCCTCTTTTTTCTTTATCCAGTGTCAATCAATCCAACCCGAGATCATGCGCGGCATGAAGTGTTCCTAAAGATGTTTTATCACCATCATGTAGAATGATGAACATTGTAAGAGCGGAAAAAAACGGAACTGGATACAATCCAACGATCCATCACGCGTCTTTGGTTGAATCAAAGTACGGTTATTCTTCCAAGTTCTTGACAACTTTGGCGTGGGAATGTCAGTCAAAACACGGCGTGTTTGAGTATGATTCGAGTTCTTTCCACAACAGCAGGTAAGTTTTCTGAGTCAATGGCATTGTGGGATGGGCTGACTGATGATTTCTTCTAACACGAAGTGCCACTAATCAATCTGAACTGAGAGACCTTGCCAAGTCAGGAGACTGCTACTTCAACCTTCCTGTATGTGACCTAACCCGACCAGGTAAGCTTCTGATTGCGAATTTTCTCTTCTTTCAGACTTAAGGCTCTCTAAGATTCACATGGAATCTAGCCAAAAAGTTGACCTCTTGTTTTTTCTTGTCTTCCTGAATCAAATCATGGAAGACCTCAAACATTTGAGATCCAAAACTAAAAAGACTTTGACCCAGATCTGTCGGGAGGCAGGAGGATTGCCAATATGACAGCCTCCAAAGCTTTAGCTCAAAATCCTCTGTTATTTATTTCATCAAACATGTAGCTCTTGTATTATTTCTTATCATTCAAAAAAAAAAAAAAAAAAAAAAAAAAAAAAAAAAAACCGGGTAACCAAATTTTCATCAAGCATAGTAAATACTCAGACAGACCGCTTGTTTAAAACAAGAGCTGCAAATGAACCTTTCCATTTTGCTGAGTGTGTGCTTATCTGAAAGACTCCAATCCCACCCCTCCGGATTTTGTAAGTATTATCCCTACATAGCAACTCAAGAAAACACCAGCTCAAATCACTGCACAATCCATTTTTGAGGGTCGGCCTACTACTTCTTAAATTTCCAGTGACTATGAAGTTACTCAAGAGAGTAACTCTCCTTGGTAAGAAGACAATAGTCAAATTTAAGTTTCTTAATAACTCTAATGGAGTTTTTAATCAATAATTTAGATAAGGTTTTATGATGATGTATTACTATAGGTAATATAAATCTAAATGATGATGATGATAAGAAATCTCGCGATGAGGAAAGAGAAAGAACAGAGGGAGGAAGAACAAGCAGAAGACTATATGTCATAGATGCACAGACCCGATGACGACAACAAGCATTCACAGATGACATCATCTGGAAGAAGATCACATAAATATAAATGAATATGTCATCTTGTAATCTAAATCTTACATGCATATTATACGTTATCAGCTAAGTTAACCAATTGATGAAAAACAGGAAATATAATTGACACTAGAACCAGAACTTCAAAGAGATAAAACAAGTGTTAGAAAAACAAATTTAGATAGAAAAGAAACAAGAAAACATGACAGAAATGAAGAAGAGATTTACCACGATGATAGTTTATTTTTGAATTAGACAGAGTAGAAAGACTGAAGAACACGAGGTCAAACAATGACAGGTAGTAGACACTGAGTTGTGAGAGAAGATAGAAACGAGAAAGGTTAATCGAAGTTTATGATAAATGAGTTCAATGAGAGACTTTTTTCTCACCAAATTGGCAAAAGCCAAGTGAGAAGATCGAGAGAGAGAGTCGGAGGAATTAGGAGGAGAGAACGCTGAGTCGAGGATGAGACAATGTGTAGTTGACGTTGGCGCGAGTGAGCAAGGAGTGATAGGAGGGAGAGAAAGTAGAGGAAGAGAGAAGAGAAGAAACGGAGACGAAGTGCGATGTTGAGAGGAATGGTGGAGGAGTGGAGCTGTGAGGACGATATTGAGGGAGTAGTCGAACAGTGTTGAAACGAGGAGGTTAGTCGATCGAGAACGTCGATGGTTGATCGAAGAGAGTGACGGAGGAGACTGTTGGGGGAAGTTTGATCGCAGACATTTGAGTTGGGTTTTTATAGTAGCTGTCGAGAGGGTCGGCTTGTGGTTGAGAGCGATGAGTGGGATTCGATGTGGTAAGCATGTGGTTGAGAGTAATGAAGGAGAGTCGTAGTTAGGTTTTGTTTGGAAGAGAAGGGAAGAAGAGAGAGGGATGGAAGTGATGGAAAAAGTGTTGAGGAGAGAGAATACAGCACGAGAAAAGAGAGAGAGCGGAAAGGGAGCGGGAAAGGGAGCGGCGCAGAGAGAGAAGAGAAAAGAGCGGCGCGGAGAGAGAGAGAAAAGAAGAAAAAAGAGGAAAAAGGAGCGGAGAGCGGGAGAATTCCAACACCAACCAAATCTGCATAATTCTTACCCAATCCATAAGTTAATGAACTAGTTATGACAAAACAGACCTCCCTTATACTCTAAACTGTCCCTACCTTTCTTTTATTCTTTTTATAATATTTTGCATGTTTATTCCTAAAATTTAACAAATAACTTCTTAGCGTATTAGGGAAATGTAAATGAGACACCCACATGTCCTCCCCCACTGTCACATCCCACCACAAAACTGAGTAATCAAAACTCCCCTTCTGCAGCTCCCTGAAATCTAACACAGACTTCAGCTTTTTCCAATCAACCACTTGTTCTTCATTATAATACTTATCTTTCAAATCCGTCAAAAAACCACGATTAACTAAGCTGTTAGGCGGAAAATATTTAACAATCAGCGAGACATCAAACACAGGATGTAACTTAGGATATTGATGATGAATATCTAATTCTACTGCATTAGATCCTACCATTTTAATTACCTTAAATGGACCAATGTACCAATAATCCAATTTAGAATTCAAGCGTTGTGACTGAGTAAACTTTCTTAATAAAAGAACCTGATCCCCTGCTTGATAAACCGTAGACTCTTTCTTACCCTCATTGTAATATTTTGCTTGTTGGATACACGCTTGAACTAAACATTCCATCACCGTCTCTTGAGTAACCTGTAAATCATATAGAAATTCATCTAAGTCTTGCTTACCAGTAGACTCTGTCATAATGTTGAATTTAGGATGATGACCATAGGTAAAGAAAAATGGTGAAATCTTCAAACTGGAGGAATCTAAATTATTTAAAGAAAATTCAGCCATTTCAAGGCATTTGTCCCAATTATCCTGGTAATATGAACAGAAATGACGTAAGTAATCCTCCAATATCTGATTCATTCTCTCCGTCTGTCCATCCGTTTGTGGGTGATAAGCAGTGGATAGCGCTGATTTAATACTCAGGGAATTCATTAAGGCTTTCCAAAAGTTACTTACAAACGTTGTTCCCCTATCAGAAACAATCTTGTCTGGTAAACCATGCAAACGGAAAATTTTCTTCCTAAACAAGTTAGCTAAAACAGCAGACGAAGATGACTCCCTACAGGGAATAAAATGAGTCAGTTTACTCAGCAGATCAATAACTACCAAAACAGAATCAAAACCACCAGACAAAGGGAGTTTAGTAATCATATCCATACCAATGGTGCTCCACGGTTTTGGTTCCGGTACCAAAGAAACCAACTTTCCATCCTTAAGAGTCCGCCGCGCTTTCACCCGTTGACACAAGTCACACGTTTTCACAAAAGCTAGCACCAAAGACTTGACACCTGGCCACAAAAATGTGCGCAAAAGAATTGAAAGAGTCCGAGCAATGCCTGGATGACCGACTGCCGGCAAATCATGATACATAGCCATGATACGAACTTGTAAAACATCTGGTACATAAATTCTATCTCAATCCCATAAAACTTCATTGACCAATGTCAGTGAACTCAAAATCCTATCAGCATCAGAATAATGCTTTAGAAAGACAACCAACTCCGCATTAGGCCGCTGGAAATGCAAATCATCTACCCCACCTAAACACTCTAACTTCCCAGCCATAACAAACTTATCTCGTAAAGATGTGGACTCCGGAATTGTGGGTCTATCGGCAACATAATCTTCCTGTTGACTTGGAGCATCCGCCGGGTTCTTTGTTCCTGAAATGTGATAGATTAACATGTTCAAGTTATCCAAATAACAAGCCCACCAAGCCTGTTTGGGTGACAGATATTTAGCACTCTTAAAATACATTAAATTAGAATGATCTGAGTAAACTTTGACCGGCTCATCTGTCCCCCATCAACCATGCTTGCCAATCTTCAAATGCCAATACAATAGCCAACAATTCCAAATCGAAAATAGGCCGAAGCGTTCTCTGTCAGTCAATTTTCTCGAGAAATGCCTCACTGGGCAGTTATGATTTTTGCTATCTGGCTGACTCAAATACTCAGCCTCCCCTGTATCCAACTTCTGGTAATTCCAGCCAAGGGGCTTGAAGGCACCTCATGGGTAGTCTGGTCACATGGCCTTCATTGGAAGGATGTTGGCGCCGTGGACAACACCCACCTACGCTGTGTGAATGAATAGGCTAAAAGATTGTATTTCATAAATACCAGCTCAGAAATACAATAAATAGAAAGAAGAAAAGAAAGAAGAAAATAGTCACCTAAAAGCAGTAAATGACTAAATGAATAGGACAACAGTATATCTCGATATGTCAATGAGAGAAAGATAGAAGAGAAGAAGCTAATAGAAAAGAGTGAATCAATATCAGAACACTTGTGAGAAAAAGACCAACAAGTACCTACGATGATTGAGGATAGAGAAGAAAGGAAGTGGTTGGCGGAGTTGTCAAATGGAAGGGATCGATTTGATACAAGGATTAAAGAAGAAAAGAAGTGGTCGGTGGAGTTGTCAAATGGAAGGGATCAATTTGATATAGAGATCAAAGAGGATGAATGACGAGCGCAGAAGAAGACCGTTTGATATTGAGATCAAAGAGATTGGTGAGAGTTGCAATATGATGTTTGTCTTTTATAGGAATAAGACGAGTGATGATTTGGGATGGATAAGAATGAAGTGGTCAACTGAGAAGATTGACTGTGGAGGAATGATTTGAAGGAGTCCTAAGGAGAGAGGAAGATACGACGAACAAGGAAGGATAATAAAGAAAAGTTGGAATGCACGATGACGATGTTGGTTGAGAGTGAGAGGGTTCAAGCGCAATGATGTCATTGCCTGAGCTTGATGAAATAGAGTTCAGGCCCAATGATGTCATGAATGGAGGACTTCCCGTCGCGATTTAGAGTGTTTTTTAGACCTCTCTCAGTTCTAAATTAACACTCTAATCACAACCACACCTAGCTCACAAGAGGGCCTTCACTACAAGGCTTCTGAAGGAAGAATTTTTTTTGCCAAAAATTAAGATGTTGATGGTGTAAATCAAATTCTGCGAGGGTCGTAAATGCTGACGGGAAGTCGTCCAATATTTTGGTCTTGGGTAAACAGCTGGTCTAGAGCCGAGGCTTAGACCTCAACACCCCCCCTTACCTCAAGACAAAATAGTCCTAAGGCAAGCAGTGACCTAACAAGTGCTGGACGTGGAACAGCCTTTGTGAGAAAATCGGCCAACATTTGATTAGTTGGTGTGTATTTAAGAACAATCTTGTTGCTCTTGATGACGTCCTGTCAGACACTGAGACACTAGCCCAGGTGTCTACAATAGAATGTAACCCCCTTGGGTTACATAACAATTATTATTATGTGTAATCTTTAAGTTAATAATTATTAAGTAATGTTATCCCTTTTTACATGTATTTTTTATGTTAATAATTATTCTGTAAATTAATAAAGATTCACCTCTTTATTAATTTACCTCTTTCATGAAAATTATAATCAAGTTGAAAAGGATAATTATCTCCTGGGTGTATCCAAGAGATGATTATCCTATTTACCTCTCTTGTGTGTATGATTATTATGTTTATCTCTCTTATGGTATTTTCTGAAATAGAGGATATTCAACACATGTACATTTATCATGCTTTGAATATCCTGACACTTTCCCCCAAGGAAAAGTGTAACAATAAGGGGACTGCACCGGTCCCAGCAGCAGAATTGACCCCTGCTCTGTAATATTTAAGAGGATGCTTCTCCCCCTGAGATTCATCCCCCAGACAATATTACCATACCAACCCAACTACCTTACTAAAACATATACTTAGTGAGTGGGGTTTTTAGTAATATATTATCTACATAACTTGTTGTACTTTCCTCTTTATCTTATTACTAGTCTTTATAAGTTACTTTATTAACTTATAAGACTAGTACAAACTTTATCCTTCTTACTCTCTTAAGCACCGGCACAGTGAAGCTCATTCCACTGTTGTCCCTTATTATTATAAGGAGCTAGCCCCTCCACTGTACTAGTGTTGAGGAGAGGCTTAATTCCACTGGCCCTTTTGGCTAAAGTGTGACCCAAAAACCCATCAACTCTAGGTCACATAAGAGACCAGAGCTGACAACTGGGGGTCTGGCCGGGAAATTTTCTTTCCTGTGTACCACCAAATCTTAAAAAACTCTTTCTTTAAGAACAATTACTGATCAGTGAGATTTTTTTTACTGATCAATTCACCACACCTAATTACTCCGCTCTCGAGTTATTCAGATTGAAAGTTCTGTATTACATAGAATATTCACCTCGCTACGCCCTTTCGTACTCGAGTAGTAACTCAAATCATTTCGATCTCAACTCGATAGACAATTGGCAGGATCTTCACAATTGTAAGGTGGTAGTGTTCTCCTGTCCTATCGACTGCTTATTAAATACAGCAGAAACTAATCTTTCATCAATCTCGCTTTAGCAGATATCTGCTGTCCTGAACCTGTTCAATTCCGACAAACAAGACCAGTGAGTTGATCGGTACTATATTGCTCTGATAGTTAGTTATCAATCACTTACTTCTTGTGCGGTGTCCTTTGATTCAACGACAGTGTCCAACACCGGTCAATCTAAGGTTACTCCCGTTAAAACTTACTCCGAAGCCGTATCGGCGTCCGAAGGAACTCGCTCCGAGCCTAATAAAACTGCTAAAGCGGCCCCTAGGAAACCAAAGAAACAATTTAAGAGCCCAGAAGAGGTGCCGTCCGAGTGGGACGAGTCCAACTTATCCTCGAAATCCGAAACCAGAAAGACGGCAGCAACCGTAGTAAAGAAACCGGTTAAATCAACTTCTAGACCTAAGACTCTTACCAGTAACGGACCTATTTCACCTCCAGCGATTCCAGCTGAGCGACCCGATTCGGCCGAGAAATCTCAGGCAACAGCCCTTCCGACTAAAAAGAAGCCGACTGTCCCTGCCAAGTCCAACAATCCGTTACCGATCACTGATCCCTTTAAGAGTAACGAGAAGCCCTCCAAACTCATCGACAAAGACTCAATCAGCCATCTTAGCTTCAAGAAGTTAGATCGAGAACCTCTAGCTAAGACCGTCAATAACGCTGCAGAGACCTCGATCGACCAAGTACCTCGTAAGAAAGAAGCCGCTGTTCGAGTCGATTCGTTATCCGAAGCAGCTAAGACGTTGTTGAACGGTCCTGGAACCTTCAAGGAACCTATTGACCGATTGACTCAAAAAAGTCTCGATAATTACTTTGTTCCGCAAGGCAGAACGGTCAGATCAATATCGTCTTGATCCTCAGATCATCCGGGTAGTTCTACTACTTCTTCCTCATCCGTCATACATAGCGACGGTAGCGACCTTGATATCATAACGGGTTAGCTTTTATCTTTCTGTTCAAAACCCTCTTCAGCAACAGTATAAGTAGCTGACGAAGCATGTCTCGCACTAGGAGCCACCGCCCAGCTTTGGTCGAAGCCAAAGACCTTACCGGCGCCCGTAGAGGAAGACATTCTGCTAAAATTTCGCCCAGCGTTTCATCCGCTTCTTCAGGGGGTGAAGCTAAATCAAGAGTACTTCCGTCGAGCGGAGAAGACGAAGGACGAGGACTTGAAAGTCGTAGCCCTCAGATCGGCGTCGGAACTCCAAACCGATCTTCTGCGCTCGATCACTCAGGAGGAGTTTCAGAAGATCTTCCACTGGGACCCAAAGTCGGAATTCGACGAGTACCTGAATACTCAGAAGGGCCGAACATTCCTGAAGGAGAGAGGAGCGGAAGTAACGCCGACTCCTCCTCCAGAAGTCCAAATGCAACCGCCAGAGGCAACTCAGTCTCAGCCTCGCGATCAACCGACGGAGACGCATCCTCAGATGTACTATCATCCAAACGGTTGCTACTACCCGTATCCTCCGACGAATACGAGCCAGCAGAATCAGTACTGTCCCCAACAGGATTACAATCAGAATTACTCGACGTACCAACAAGGGTACTACCCACCTCAACAGTGGGTAAACAACCAAGTTCCCCAAAAGGAACAGTCGGTCCCCCATCAAGAGACGCGAAAGAAGGTGAACGGCCAAGCTCCGAAGAGCAATCGCAACCGTCCTCGCAACAGAAAGGAAAAGGGACCAAGTTGGGTACCTCCTCCCAACTCCAATCGAGTCCCTCCGGACTCGAACTCTATGAGCACCAGGGAAAGACGTCGGCGAGCCCATCAACTCTCCATTCACCAGGAGATGATAAGACTCAGTCGCACGACGCAGGCTCAATATCAAGCTCTAGAGTCTATGAGAAATCAGAACGCAGGGGGCGGGAGTCGTCATCAACCCCGAGAGGACGCACAGACTCCAAGAAATTAACATCTGAAGAGTTAGTACCCATTCTACAAAAACTTTTCCTCAGCATAGAAAAAATTGTTGATAATAATGTGGCTTTGCTATCTAAACAGATTAACTCAGACGTCACTGTAGGTATAGCTAATCAATTGAGTCATCAATTTGACACCTTTGATCCAAAATTCAAGTCACTATTATTTTCTTCTGAAAACTCTATTGCCATGTTACAAAATATTCTTAGAACCCTCCCACAAATAGAAGCTTCAGCAAAAAAATGGTCAGCTTCAGAGTCTGATTTTAATTCTCTTCATAATAAATTGTCTAATCTTAGTAATATGCTTTCCAACTCTTCTGAGTCCCATAATATTAAAGAAATTAAAAATATTGTGATGGCCCTCAGTAATAGAGAAGATTTGTCCAAAAGAGCTTTTGACAATCTTTTTAGTCTTGTTTATGATAAATTGGAAGAAAACAAAAATAAGACTGACAATTTCTTTGAGAAATTGACCAATAAATTGACTCCTCATCCTGAAGTTGGACCTTCTTCAAAATTGGAATCTACTGAACCAAGGAAAGAGTCACCTGACTTGTTTCCTACAAAAGACAAAGACAAGGGTAAAGGAAAAGAAAGTTGTCATCCTAGTGCACCTGACGTGCTATTACAAGACCAACAATTGAACACTAATAATATTTGTTCTTGTCATGCAAAAATCTCTGAGCTTAAGTTGGAGCATGAATTACTCAGAGAAGTTAATGAGAAGATAGACTACCTTATTAACTTGAATGAACAGCCAATTGCAGACATCAATTCTAAATTGTTAGTTATAGAAAACAATAATGAGAAGAGATTCAACACATTGATGGCAAAATTTGATGGATTGAAATCCCCCACTGTAGTACCCAGTGAACAGGTAGAGCACAACCGTGAAACCAGTTCTACTGCCGGACCAAAAATGTCTTATGCTCCAGAGGGGTCTGGACCAAATCCACAAATGACTGTAAACAATAATAATGCTGAATTCTTTGAGACTAAGAACCAAGCTACTGAGCTTGACCCTGGAAGACTGAGTGAATTTTTTGAAGTGCCCTCAGTAAGAAGTGAGGCAGTACCAGTTGCAAAACCTCAAATGTCTCATGAAACAAGTAAGATTATCATGCAAGGTTTGTCTAAAATAGAAGCATGGCCTAGCTTTTCTGGAGATGGTGAGTATAACCATGTAGACTTTATCAAGAAAATTGATACTATCCAAGAAGACTGTCATATAGAAGATGCGGTTATCATTACAAAATTGATGAATATGTTCACAGGTTCAGCAGAGCAATGGTACGCCACCGTGAGAGCTATAGTAGGAAATCAGTCTTGGGCTTTCTGGAAAAAAGCCCTTCATAAAAAATATGGTACTCCCGCCTGGAGAAGAAAACTTTTGACTAATTATCAGAAGGATAGATTCGTACCAGGGAGTACCCAAGCAGCAGCTTGGGTCACAAGACAGTACACAAGGATCATGGCATGTGAGCCACAAACTAACCATGAAAGCCTTATGTTTAAACTTCTGACCCAAATGGACGGAGAAGTCAGCTTTGCGGCACAAAATGCAATGAAAGATGGCCAAACTCTGACTTCATTAATTAATGCTTTAGAAGATATTACAGAATACACCAATATAGGTAAGAGACGACCATCTTATGGCCTTGGTAACAAGCAATACACTAATAATAATGGCTTGGATAAGGGTAAAGATTCCAAACAAAATTCAGACCTTAAGTGTTATTCTTGTGATAAAGTAGGACATACCTCTAGGAACTGTCCGAAAAAGGCTAAGAAAGTTGTAGCTATTGGTGATGAAAGAAATAATGATGCTGGTATTGATTCAGAAAGTGATGCTGAGCAGCAAGATCATAATCCAGATATTGTGTGTGTAAATACTACTTCTGTAGATTATTTTATTTCCCCTGTTTCAGGCAGTAATAGAATAGTGCAAATGATTTGTTGTCACGAGCCGTGTAACGTACTGCTAGATTCTGGTGCTTTTAAGTCAGTAGTGGGAATGAACTATTTGAGTAAGTTCTGTCCTGATTGGGAAGAAATTTATTATTTCTACCACTACTGATAAATTCCATAGCTGCTCAGACCAATTGACTACACTAGGTGTAGTCAAAGTTATTCTGGAATTTAAAGACCACAAGTTACATGTGGATTTTATAGTCATTGAAAATGCCTTGGTAAATTATTTCATTCTAGGAAATGATTACTTGAGCCATTTTAAAATTTCTATTATGAATGATAAAGGTAGCTACTTTAAAATTGGTTCCAGTAATGTCAAATACACATTTGGCAACAATAAGTCTAAATTAGTTGCGTCAGGAAATACTTCTGAGTCCTCATTTTTACAGGAGGTAAAAGACAGCTCAAGAATAAATCCTGAACTGCCAAGCAAAGCAAAGGATCAACTCCTTCAATTGCTCTTTGCCAAAAGACAGGCTTTTGCTACGGTGGAAGAGCCCTTTGGTGCAATCAGAGGTCATGAGGTAAAATTGACTTTGAACATTGATAAACCATACCCGCCAGTCTTAAGAAAAGCACCTTATCCGGCTAGTCCAAGAAGCAGAGAAGCTTTAGCCGAACATATAGAAGCTTTACTTAAACTGAAAGTCATTAGAAAGGTAGGTGCAAATGAGAATGTGGATATTACCACCCCGGTAATAATTGCTTGGCATAATAATAAATCTAGACTTGTTGGTGACTTCAGAGCTTTGAACAGCTACACTAATCCTGATAGGTACCCTATGCCTAAGATAATGGAATCTTTAAGTAAATTGCATAAAGCAAAGTATATTACTTGTATGGATGTACTCAAAGGATTCCATCAAAATGTTATTCATAAAGATAGCAGACAATTCTTGAGAATAGTTTGCCATCTTGGTATCTATGAATATCTTAGAATGCCTTTTGGCATAAAAAATGCGCCATCTCACTTTCAGAGAATGATGGACACCGAATTTGCAAATGAGCTAAGCCAATTGTGGCTCATTATTTATATAGATGACATTATTATTTTCTCAGATAATTGGAATGACCACTTAAGTAGGTTAAGTACAGTACTGGATAAAGTCATCAAAATGAATATGAAAATTTCACTGGCTAAGTGCCAATTTGGATTTTCGGAGCTAAAAGCTTTAGGACATATAGTAAGTGGTTTGTCTTTGGGAATTGACAAACATAGAGTAGCAGCAGTGTTGCTCAAACCTACACCTCAAAATGTCAAAGAAATGCAAATGTTCCTTGGTTTTGCTGGATACTATAGGTTGCATATAAAGAATTTTGGGTCCATGGCCTCTAGTCTTTATAAACTCTGTAGCCCCAGTGTAGTATTTGAAATGACTGCTGAAAGAGTTGAAGCTTATGAGTCCCTTAAGTTTGCTTTGACAAATGCTCCCCTATTGTTTCACCCTGATCCGAAAGAAAGGTTTAAATTGTATGTTGATGCGTGCATGGAAGGTATTGGTGCGGCTTTGCATTAAGTACAAACCATCAATGACAAACCTGTAGAAGGACCAATTTGTTTCATTTCAAGACAACTCAAAGATTCCAAGAAGAAGTACGGTGCTTCTCAACTTGAATCTCTTTGTCTAGTGTGGGCCTTGGATAAGTTGTATTACTATCTGGATGGTTGTGAGTTTGATGTCATCACAGATTGTAATGCCCTTAGGTCTTTATTGAACATGAAAACACCCAATAGGCATATGCTCCGTTGGCAAATTGCTATCCAAGAATGGAGAGGATCTATGACAATTGTTCACAGAGAAGGCATAGTGCATAAAAATGCAGACGGACTTTCTAGATGGGCTTTGGCAAATGACCCTAGTAATCCTGCTTATGATGCTGAAGAAGCTGAAACATGTTCACCAGTTCTGGATATTTTGCCTTTTAACATGAGGATGTCTGAGTGTCTTGCACATTGGGCTTTACCAAATGATGAGAACAATCCAGCTTTTGAAAAAGAGTCTTTTGTTGACACTAATCCTATTATGGCTATTTCTATATCTGGATTGTCATCATCCTTTTGGGAATTAATAGAGAAAAGCTATGAATCTAACAAGAATACCGTAATTTTAGTCAAATTACTTAAGTCACCTAAAGGTCTAATTGAAGGACTTGAAGGAATTTGGAAAAAACATTTTTTGGAAAACAGATTTGTTTTGTTAGACAAATTATTGTACCACAGGCGTGAACACAACTCCTCGGTAGTGCTTATTGACCCCAATCACATCAGTATAATTTTGAATGAGTGCCACGACAGTATCACTTCTGGCCACTTTTCCAAAGAAAGAACTCTAAATAGAGTCCAGGGTCTGGCTTGGTGGCCGGATTGGAAAAATCAGGTGTCAGATTACTGTGACTCTTGCGACAGGTGTCAAAAAGCCAATAAAGCTACAGGAAAACGCTTTGGCTTGTTACAAACAATTGATGAGCCAAAATCAAGGTGGGAAATTATCAATATGGACTTTGTTACAGCCCTTCCTTCAGCAGGACCAGAAAACTATAATGCTGTGTTAGTAGTCTGTGATAGATTTTCCAAACGAGCAAGATTCTTGCCTTGCTATAAAGACAGTAGTGCAATGGATATAGCACTTATATTCTGGAATAATATTGTCAGTGATGTTGGATGTCCAAGAATCATCATCAGTGACAGAGATCCAAAATTTACATCAGACTTTTGGCAAAATTTGTTTGAAATTTTAGGCACTAAGTTAGCCTTTTCTACAGCTTATCACCCTCAAACTGATGGACTAGCAGAAAGGATGATCCAGACTCTTGAAGACATGATCAGGAGGTATTGCGCATACGGAATTGACTTCAAGACTAGTGATGGTTACACTCATGACTGGGTTTCTCTTCTACCAGCACTAGAATTTTCTTACAATTCCAGTAAACATTCTGTCACGGGCATGACTCCTTTTGAACTTGAGAGAGGATGGATTCCACATATGCCGAAAGACTTTCTGCTTTCCAAGACAATTGAATTGCACCCCAGTTCAGAGTGTTTTCAAAAAATGATGTTCCAAGCAGAAGAAAAAGCTGCTCTCTGTGTTAAAGAGGCTGCTGATTATAACAAGGAAAGATGGGATAAAACTCATAGAGACCATGATTTGAAAATTGGTGACTTAGTTCTTATCTCTACAGTAAATTTCAATAACTTAGGGGGACCTCGAAAACTAAAAGATGCTTTCATAGGACCATTTGTTATTAAACAATTTCACGGTAGAAATGCTGTTGAGGTTATTTTAACAGAAGAATTTAGTCAGAGACATCCTACGTTTCCTATAAGTCTTTGCAAAAAATACATTGTTCAAGATAATAGTTTTGACCGGTCATCTAATGAAGTCATTGCTCCTCCCATGACAGATGAGACTGTACCAAAAACTGCAACAAAAATCTTAAAAGAAAAAGTTGTAAGGAAAAATGGCAAAGACTGCAAGTTATACTTAGTAAGATTTAAAGATTGTCAGCCTGATCAAGACTTGTGGCTAGAAACTGATAAAATAGACAACTGTCAAGTCTTGTTGAGAAGGTTTAGAGCTACCAAAAGATCGAAAAATTCCTGATGGAATTTTCCTTTTGGTGGGGGCGAATGTCAGACACTGAGACACTAGCCCAGGTGTCTACAATAGAATGTAACCCCCTTGGGTTACATAACAATTATTATTATGTGTAATCTTTAAGTTAATAATTATTAAGTAATGTTATCCCTTTTTACATGTATTTTTTATGTTAATAATTATTCTGTAAATTAATAAAGATTCACCTCTTTATTAATTTACCTCTTTCATGAAAATTATAATCAAGTTGAAAAGGATAATTATCTCCTGGGTGTATCCAAGAGATGATTATCCTATTTACCTCTCTTGTGTGTATGATTATTATGTTTATCTCTCTTATGGTATTTTCTGAAATAGAGGATATTCAACACATGTACATTTATCATGCTTTGAATATCCTGACACTTTCCCCCAAGGAAAAGTGTAACAATAAGGGGACTGCACCGGTCCCAGCAGCAGAATTGACCCCTGCTCTGTAATATTTAAGAGGATGCTTCTCCCCCTGAGATTCATCCCCCAGACAATATTACCATACCAACCCAACTACCTTACTAAAACATATACTTAGTGAGTGGGGTTTTTAGTAATATATTATCTACATAACTTGTTGTACTTTCCTCTTTATCTTATTACTAGTCTTTATAAGTTACTTTATTAACTTATAAGACTAGTACAAACTTTATCCTTCTTACTCTCTTAAGCACCGGCACAGGGAAGCTCATTCCACTGTTGTCCCTTATTATTATAAGGAGCTAGCCCCTCCACTGTACTAGTGTTGAGGAGAGGCTTAATTCCACTGGCCCTTTTGGCTAAAGTGTGACCCAAAAACCCATCAACTCTAGGTCACATAAGAGACCAGAGCTGACATGTCCCATATGAAGTGTAGTTGAATTTCAACATGCTTCATCCTTTTTGAGTTTGAATTTGCGTCAAAATTTGCAACCGCTATGCATCCTTGATTGTCTTCATGTATCACAGTCGGGAGCAATGAATCACCAAGACCAATTTCCATAATCAACTGACAAATCCAAAGGATTTCACAGGAAAAATCTGTGAGGGCTCGATACTCAGCTTCACATGATGAAAGTGAGACGACAGGTTGTTTTTTAGTTTGCCAGCCAATTAGGTGATCGTTGAAGAGAGATAAGGAGAGAGGAAGATACGACAAATGAGGAAGGATAATAAAGAAAAGTTGGAATGCACGATGACGATGTTGGTGGAGAGTGAGAGGGTTCAAGCGGGGCGATGATAATCACACTCCTCCCCCCTCCCCGCACGCCCACGCCCCCGCCCCTCCAAAAGGGGTGTACAATCCCCACGCCCCCGCCCCTCCAAAAGGGGTGTACAATTGAACCCGCCCGTCTCTGAGGGGCGGGTTTGAATGCACGCCCCTCGGAAGCCTGATTTTTCGAGGAATCATGTTTCCAAGGGGTGTGCAATCAAGCCCACCCCTCAATGACGGTTGGGTGGGATTGCACGCTGTACAGTCTCAAAGGCCGAGAGGGATTACTCTTGGCCTCTGAGACTGTACAGTCTCAAAGGCCGAGAGTACGGAAGCCCACAGGGGACACCAATCAGCTCACCATTTTGAAAAATGAAAAATGACTTTTTGAAAATACAGAATTCTGTATTCCATTCAAAATACAGATTTCTGTATTTTAACATTCTAAAATTTGAAACGTAAGTGCTGGATCAGATACCCATACATGCATAGTTGCATAATACCTTTTGCCATCTCATTCCGACAAACCAACACTGCATCAGCCCGGTACGGTCCTACTCCCGGGCGGATGCTGATTCACTAAGAATTACCCGGTGAGGAGAGTACTCCCTCCGATGGCTGGTTCAGATCGGTCATTGGTGGGGGTACCCTCTATGACCGGTCATCACCGGTCATCGATGGGAGTACATACTCCCTTTCATGAGCAGTCAGACTTGGCCATCAAAGAGAATGGGCAATCCCTTCAATTATCGGTCTGAGTTGGTCATCAAAGGCGGTGCACATATAATCCCAATGACCGTACAGACCAGTTGTTTTTGGACCGGTCCGTTTTTGGCCGGAATACATGAAAGGTGAGCTAATTAAACACCGGTCCTCTAATGAACAGTGGTTCTGAACCGGTCATTGAAGGGAATGAGTACCCCTCTGGATGACTGGTTCAGAGTTGGTCATTGAGGTGAGTAAGTATTCCTCTCGATGACCAGTTCTGAACGGCCATCGAGGAAGGGAGATACTTCCCTCAATGACCAGTGCTGAACGGTCAGCGAGGGGGGTACTTACTCGCCTCAATGACTCGCTCTGACCTTTCTTCAATGACTGGTCGTCAGCTCCTGTCATGGAGGTTGAACCTTCCGGGCCAATAGGGTATTGGTACGCGGAGACGTGATGCCGGGAGGGCCACCGAGCCGATTGCCACCGGTGCCGATTGTATGTTTAGAATTTTTTCTTAGCTGTTATGCATTATGCGCTTCCCGACTAGGATTTATTCGGCAGTGATGTTTCAAATTTTAGAATGTTAAAATACAGAAATCTGTATTTTAAATGGAATACAGATTTCTGTATTTTAATTTTTCACTTTTCACTTTTCAAAATCGTGAGCTGATTGGAGTCCCCTGTGGGCTTCCGTACGAGAGGGATTACTCTTGGCCTCTGAGACTGTACAGTCTCGAAGGCCAAGAGGAAGGGTGAAGGGAATAAAGTTCTCCCTTCACGTAAGCAAAACTTGCCCGCAAGTTTTGCTTACATCAGTGAAGGGAGACTCAAGTTCTCCCTTCACCTCCCAGTGTATGGCATGCAATCCCACCCTCCCGTCTCTGAGGGGCGGGTTTGATTGCACGCCCCTCGGAAACATGATTCCTCGCAAAATCAGGCTTCTGAGGGGCGTGCATTCAAACCTGCCCCTCAGAGACGGGCGGGTTCAATTGCACGCCCCTTTTGGAGGGGCGGGGGCGTGGGCGTGTGGGGAGGGGGGAGGAGTGCGTTTATCAACGCACCCTTATTTGATCCGGATCTCGAGCAAGACCGCTCCGGCTAAGAAACCGATTGGCCCGAGGGATTGGACCAGCCGATGTTCTTGAGAAGCCGGGACAGCGATGTGGGATTACTCGATCATGCCTAGGAACACGACACCGTGAGCCTTGATCTGATGCTTTACGGGAGAAGTTGGGTATCAGTAAGGTTGATACATCCAGCCGATGATGAATGGCTTACAAGAGGTTATAGTCTTCCGCGGCGTAAGTGAGACTCATCCTGGACAAGATGGGCTGGCCTTTGTACTCCCCCGTGCAGGTATTTATAACACCAGGTCATAACACAACCGGTGCCATAAGCAGCGAGTGCCCCGAGGATCTCGGGTTTGGAGGGGAAGACCCGAGGGGTTGAAAGAGTGAAGCCGAGCACCCATGTGTTCGGAGAGCCGGTCCCGCTAAAATCTTCCATAGGAAATATCATACAGTGTCCGGCGCGTTGACTGTGTAGGGTCGAGGCGTGTACGGAGGTGCTGCTGATGAAATGACGGAAAAGCAAGCTCGGATTGCGCCTTTTGGATGAGATGATGTCGAGCTGATTCTCCGATTACAGTGAAACCGATGTGCACTCGTGTCTCATCTGCCAAAGGGAGGAGGGAAGAAGATGGCTTCGCCTTTACACCAGTCAACAATCTGAAACAGCCTTCCAAAAATCGCCCAAATGAAACCTCTCTCCTCCCCTGTCCCGTCCAGCGACATTTCCCCCTTATATAACCTTCCAGCAGACTTGATCGAATCAAAACCCAAAATCGTCAAGTATGCTTCATTCGTGTCGGCTCTTGCTGCAGGTTTCGGTCAGCTTCAGACAGCTTTCGTTGGTTTATCTCACTTGGATAGTCCTGTTCAAGGCCTCAGGTCAATCGCAAATCTGGTTACATCAGAATGGAACAAACAGCTTGATCAATAATCGTGAGTACTCCCCGCCCCCCTTCTCATCTTTACCTCCAAGGAAACAAGTGCACGTTCCTGATTGGCCTGAAAAAATAAGACAGAAATCGAAAGCGATCCTTGCTACAAAACCCCTTTGAAGCCAACTCTATGGTATCAACTGGGAATGAACAATTATCTTGACAGTTATCCGGGAGGGGATAAGATAGCTTTGCAGGTAACACACACCCACAAAAAGAGAAACAACTCTAGGCCATTCTCTAATTGTTCCTCTCTCTCTCTTCGACGATGATCCCTCAAGGAATACGCTAGCAACGTTGGCGCAACAGACTTTTCCGTAGGAATCGGCGAGCATCCTCATCCCGGACAAGTCAGTCCTCTCTTCTATTCACAAATCCCTCTCTCAAAGGCACATTTTTTTTTTCTGTTTGTTGAATTCGCGAAGAAAAAAAAAAGTAACTTCATAACTGATGAGCTCAGCCACTGGGTTTTATTTCTTGTTTTGTTTGGAAAACAAAAAAAAAAGTTATGCGAAGCTGTAAAAGGACGAGATTGGTACGCCTTAGTGGCCGTACAAAACTGGAATTCATTCGTTAATAGCTTATATGATGCTGCTGGTTATGCGTAAGTTTACGTTGAAGACTTATTCCTTGAACATGGCATAACGGACATTTTTTTCAATCTGATACTGAATTCTTTTATATTCCCTTCTCTCAAAACTTAATCACTAATTATCTTCCATAACCCAACCATGTCCATCAGGTTTGGCGTAATGTCAGGTCTGCTCTATATTTAAATTGTTTGCATGGAATTGGCCTTTGTTACTTATCTACTATGGAGATTAACTAATGACTGAACCCCCTTTTTTATTATAATTAGGTATCATACCCGAAATGGTAAGACCGATGAAATAATTTGATTGGATTCTTTCTTTTTTTTTGACGGTGTCTCATTTGTTTTTTTTCCATGATCATGGACCCTAGTTAATCGACTTCGAAAAAGATCCAACCAGAGTATATCAGACTGCGGTAAGTTTTTGTTCCCCTCTTTTTTGGATGGACACAACATTCAATGTTTTTTTTTTTCTTTCGATTGGATTTTAAAGGCAGCTTATGTAGGACTAGTAACTACGTGGGTCAGCTCGTTCCCCGGTTGCATGTTCAGCACCTGGGCTCCAATCGCCAGCGCGATGTTTACGTCGGTGGGAGAGATCGCATGGATTTCGTTTGTCGGAGTGATGTATGTTTCCACATCGTTTGCATACATCAACTCAGTTATCTTTGTTGGAACCGGAGAGGATCGGTTCACAAGGGTAAGCATCTTTCCTCGGTGCTAATTCGTTTTTTTTAGACTGACATGAAAAAGCATGTTTTCAAAATCCTATACACACAGGGTGGAAACATTGCGACAATGATGGCTCAAGCTCAACGAGCCGTCCAATCCACCATCTCAAACATCACCCAAAACGTCGTCAATTCCCCGGTCGATCATCTCCAAGGTCTCGCTGGAATCAATCGCGACGGAAGCTTCTTGAACGAAATCCCTTCAGACTTCCAAAACAAATTGCAGAAAGAATTGGAACTCTCTTTGAAATTGAAATCTTTGGCAAAGTTTTGGAGACTCCAGGTAATTTAACACTGGATCTTTTTGTGTGTGTGTGTTAATGTTGATCATCCCCGACTGCTAACACTTCTTTTTTTTTTTTTTCCAAACTCAGAATGCATTTGTGGTTCGAGGAAGTGTAAGTGATGATAACCTGATCTACTTGATCGATTCCTAGTCCATATATGTTTCTTTCATTTTATTGTAGGATCCCTGCATCTATTCAGGAATCAACGGCGCATTTGATGACCCTGATAAGATATCATACTGCGGGGAGGATGATGTGTGAGTTTTGATGAATCACTGAGCCGGTTTTTTGATGACAATCGCATAAACTGAACCCGAATGATCTACGGTGTGTGCTTCGAAAACACCAGAATGATGAACATCGGTCGAGCGGAAAGGAATGGGACTGGATACGACCCAACAATCTATCACGCCTCTCTAGTCGAATCCAAGTACAACTATTCTGCGCAGTTCCTGACCTCTTCGGCTTGGCAATGCCAGTTGAAGTATGGTGTATTCGAGTACGATTCGTGTTCGCTTCACAACAGGTACATCAACTTCTTTTCTAATGTAATCTAACCCACCGTTAACTTGATACTAACAAGCACTTGATTCTTTGTCTCCAACATAACCACACCGCCCACCCTAACAAAAAAAAGCACCATCACTCAAGAGAGACTCAAGGATTTTGCTCATGCTGGAGAATGCTACTTCAACATACCTGTATGCGACCTGACAAGACCAGGTATGTAGACGTCCTAATCCATTGATCATCGTCGACAAAAGCTTCCGATCGCTCATCTCTCTACATACACTTATAACAAAAGACACGCCCAAGAAGAACAACTGACGTCTTATTTTCTTGATCATTTTTTTTTTCTGCAATCTCTATCATTCCCCCCCCCCCCAAAAAAAAAAACACAAAACAGATCTGCATTCTCTGAGACAAGATAAGAAAAGAACTATCACTCAGATCTGTCGAGAGGCTGGAGGATTGCCGATTTGAAGAACGCAAATATATATGACCATTAATATCTCCATGTATCATCCTACTTAAAATCCATCGTATACAATATGCCAATTACTGAATGCAAATTAAAGAAATCTGAATGTTTTGATTATAAGCTTCTTGGGTGTGATTCCTTTGGAGCATGGTTTGATGATGTATAAGATACATCCAGAACATCCTTGTGCTCCCTCAAAAAAAAAGCCTATTCATGGGGAGGGGGGAGGGTTGAAAGAGCATAGATTATGCTTGCTCAACCTGAAAAAAAAACACCTCTAGCAATCAATCTTCTATAACTCTAATAAAACAAATTCAAATCCCTTCTAAAAGAGAGAGAGGAAAGATATTTGTTGGGATTGAAGATGATGATGTGAAGGCTATAATGTAGCCTGATCCGAGATCCCTTAGAGCCCAAAAAGTGTGAGGTTGATATTCATATGGCGAATGTTCTTGTGATGTGATCTTTTTTTTTTTGGGGGGGGGGGGGGTGAAAAAACATGTAGTGAAACAAGGGGATTTATTTGGGTTC